ATTCGTCATGAATTAACTAGGTTTGGCTTCCTCATGGAGGATCATGATGATGTTAAGATTCCTGATACGGATGAACCTGAGTACCACATAGAAGCAGTATTAGATGTTGATTCATAGAGGTGGCGAGAAGCCATAAAATCTAAAATGGACTCGAAGTGTATCAATCAAGTATGGAACTTGGTTGACTTGCCTGTTGAGGTTAGACCCATTGGATGCAAATGATTTTCAAGAAGAAAATTAATGTTGAAGGCAAGGTGCAAACATACAAAGCTAGGCTAGTGGCTAAAGGTTATAGTCAAAGATAAGGAATTGACTATAGTGATACCTATTCGCCAGTTGCAAAACTCAAGTCCATTCGGATTTTGCTTGTGACAGCTGCATACTATGATTATGAGATTTGACAAATGGATATCAAAACCCATTTCCTTAATGGAAACCTCAAGGAGGAGGTGTACATGGTACAACCTGAAGGCTTTTGCATCCATGTCAAATTCTAAATCATTATGTTAATTAGAGAAATCTATTGATGGGCTAAAACAAGCCTCTAGGAGTTGAAATATTAATTTTGATGAAATAGTCAAATCGTTTGACCTCATCAAATGAAATGATGGTGCTTGCGTGTTTAGAGTGCGCAACAAGATAACGTGGTCTTTATAATCATATATGTTGATCATAGAGAATGATATCCCCTCATTGAAATCCGTGAAAGAATGGTTACCCAAAATCTTCATGAATATCTTTTTGTCTATGGTAGACAAAAAGGAGCTAGTAGAATTTAATTATTCTAGCACTAATTTCATGTATGATAAGAAAGACTACGAGTCGCAGTCAGTATATGTTTTTAGTCTCAATGTAATAGTAGTGCTGAAAGAGTTACAAGTAAGAAACTACTATAAATTCGACAACTAGAGCCTAGTAAATTGTTGCATTCGATGCAACTTAGGTAAGCGTTTAGATATGTTAGTTCCTTAAAGAAATAGGGGTAGTTCCTAGCAATAGTTATCCAATAATTGTTATTGTGACTGTACCGGTGCGTTTGCACAAGATAAGGAACCAAGATGCAAAGTAAGGAACTAGAAAATACCTATGTGCTATCATGTTTTTAATATCAAATAGCAAGAGGAGAAGTTGCAATAGAATGTCTTCCCATAGAGGACAATTTGGCTGGTCCATTCACCAAACCTTTGAGATGCGAGAAACGTACTAGAGAGTTTGGGTGTTAGACGCATCGGTGATTGGCACTAGGCCAAGTGGGAGATTGTTAGTATATATGTCCTAGCGACAATCACTTTTTAGACATATATGTACTTGATCACATTCAGTTTTATATATTTGATATATATGGTATTACACATTGATGATTAAGTATTTCGATTGTCAATATCTTATTCATAATTGTGTTCCCTTGGACTTATGTTGTCAATAAGTAAGTGGGAGCTTATATGATATAACATAAAGTCCTAAAATAGCCCCAATCAATGATCATCAAGAATGGGATATTGATGATATGCGATAAGATTGGTATGTGGATTGCATCATACTTTTAGAAAGTATAGTTGATCTCACAACTATGAGTTCATGTAATTCATGATGGTCACATAGATATTTTAGAGAATATTGGCATACCCACCGAGAAACCATTTGATAAGTTCTATTCATGTGTCTATGGAATTATCGGCGTATAGAGTAGTGTAATAGTCCTCCGACTTGAGGTCAATACATACTACATGTGCGGAGTGATGTACTTTGACCATGACCAACGCTTGCACTCCAATCGGGGTAGATACGACATGTATTGGGTGCATCACGAAGCACATGGAGTAGTAGTTGAGCCAAGAAAGGATTCATTCCTCATAATAGATTAAGAGAGAACATTCTACTTCTCATATCTAGATGGATCATAAAGTCATTGGCCAATGCAAAGATATATTCGCTTTGGATATCGAATATGATCGTTATGGATCATCTAGAAAGATTGAGAGACAGAGACTGAGTTATTGGGATAGACACTATATCATGTTCTAGACTTAGTTGAATGTTCGCTGAATGAAAGGACCGTATCACTATGAGCTCTATATTACAGGGAGTTTGAATAGTCCTCGCAAATGTCCTTATATATTAAGATTGTCTGGTAAATCGTCTAGGGATTCTGCTAAGACCTTAATTTGATTAGTGCTTAATATATAAGGCCCTATGGGTCACACAACAAGTGATTATACCTTCCGATTGAATTGTTAGAAGGAATTAAATATTATTAATTGGATTAAATAATATTTAATTCGTAATACTGAAAATGAATTAAATATTAATTAGATTAAACATATTTAATTCATGAAGCTGAAGGAGAGTTCTATTTGATAGAATTAATTAAGTAAGATAAATTAGATTTATCATACTTAAATAAGATGTATTTATTATTAAATAAAGTAGATATTTTCTTTTGTAATTTGGAATTAAAAGAAAAGTAAATAAAATAAATATTAATATATAATAATTAGAAAGTGGCGTGCAGCCACATCTCAATTATTATTATTATTATTATTTTGTTTTGTTTTATCTACTTATTTAATTAATTAGGAGTATTGGTCCTAGTAGGATTAGAACTCATTAATTAGAAAGACTTTCATTGTGATTGGGAAACTAGTTTCGAACTAGTATAAATACATCCTTCTCCTTCATAATTAACAGACCAGTTTTTCCAGATTCAGTATTACCAGTTTATTTCCCTTCGAAGAGATTTCCTAGCCTTTCTCTTAGGGAGATCTAACTGTTCTTTCGGAAAGGAGAAATCACGTGGATACCAAAGGTCAAGGATTATCACCGCTAGGCTGGAAGATCTGTAAGTTCTGACTCAGATCTGTTATTATTGTTTTATTCGTTGTTTTGTCATAATCAGGGAAGATCTGTTTGGAAAAAATTTTAAACTTCCGTTGTCGTACGTTCGAGGTACGTTACATCAATTTCCTAACATTTATGTCAAAATTTTCTGATCGGAATGCCGACTGACCACCTCCATATGAGGTGTTTCATGAATATTATATCCACAAAATTTAAGCTTAAAATTCAATCAGAAAGTGAGTTAAATAAATTACTCAAAACATTGTGTTTATATATATTGGCATAATGTTTTTCAATAATATATTTAACTGACTTTCCGATTGAATTTTAAGCTAAAATTGGGTGAACATAATCTATACATCATGAAAAATAAGCTCACAAATTTTATCAAAAAATTCCACTCAAAAGCACCTTAATTGAATATTATTAATCAAAATGTCTGAGAATTTCGGTTCCTACATAGGAACCGGAACCGAACTAGAATCGGACTGGCCAAACACTTCCGGAACTGAACCAAAAAGAAGAAGAAGTCCGAATCAGATAATTCGGTTCCGTTCAAATCGATTTTCCAGGTTTTACGGTTCCAAGTCCATGACCTAAAACACATAAAAAAGTCTAAAAACTAAAATAAAATACCGAAAAATGTATTTAAAAAAATGTATGCCACAACCATCGCATCCTCCACTTTCTAGCACTACCAATTCTGAGGTGGTGGTTGAGGCATGTGTAATTTTTATTTATTTATTCCTTTTTTATTTTATTATTTTAATTTTTTTTTGTTTTATTATTATCTTTTGTAAAAATCCTATTGAAAAATGACAAGGGAAAGAGTAGAATCGGATGATTAGTCATATTTTGAGAATTTAGACTTTAAACTCCCATTATTGCAATTTTGTTTTTATTTAATCATATTTAGAGATATCTCATTGATAAATGATACATGGCAGTCTTTTTTAAATTACGCACTTAAAACTTTAAATTTTCATTTGAAAAACAAAAAACATATCGTCAAATACATACTCCCTCCGTATTTAAAAGTTTGTTACACTTTCTTATTTGGGATGTATTTAAAAGTTTGCTGCACTTTTCGTTTTTAATAAGTTTTTCCTTTTTAAAATACTCAATTACCCTCAATTTTTTCTACTTTTTATCATTTCTTTGCTACTTTGTCATCTTCTATCTTACTTTTTCTATAGTATTCATTACCTTTGATCTTTGTCTCTTAAATATTGTGTCAAAAGCCCAAATCTAATGTAGTGATCATTCTGGAGGGAGCACTTCATACCCTATTTCACATCTCTCATATGGTAATGCGCGTGGTAACGAGTCTCATTGTAGTGTTTGGTTTAATTTGCCTATTTTATTTTAAATAAATACTACTTCCCTCCCGAAAAGATTCATCATATTGACTTTTCTTGATCAATGATGGCTAACTTTTGACATTGACTTTAATTGTTATATTTGTATATAATTTATAACTTTTATTATTTTATAAATTTTTTTGAGTGTATATGGGCTCGGACCCACGGCCCATATACTCTCGGACACACGGACGACCCAAACCTACACCAGGCACCAGCATTAGAAAGCCCAGCAAAAGAAGCAGTCCAGAATGAAGGAGTGAACCTTCTTCCCGTATTAGCACTTCGGCAAATCTGCCCCGGAGGGACACCCTCAGTACCAGGTTGGAAAGCCATACTTAAGGGTTTTGGTCAGCAGGACCGGGGTACACTGATGCACCTTGGACCAAGAGCCAACATGGATCGTTGGTACGCTATTATTAGTAGATCAAAACATATGTAAACGGCCCATTAGTGGTCCATCATTGTAATCGGGCCTCCGAGGTCCAAGATCTGGGAGCTCAACCCACATTCCCACTATAAATACCTCATTGCAAGTTATTTCTCTATCTACATTTTAGTTCTCCCTTCTCTCTAAACACTTCGATCTAATCCGGAAACTGTCAATTTTGAATAAGGGACATTTATATTAGTTTTCATATTTAAAATAATTTCATATTAAAAAATAGCATTCATAAATGTTGATTGTCATTAACAAAAAAAGTCATTTTGATAAAACTATTCCGGATTTTGGAAGTAAAAGTTTAAAAAACCTCATTATTCGGATGCTGGGAAGATTCGAATCTACTCATCCGAACATTCCGACAGTTCCAACCCAGAACAGGAATTGAGCGGCTGTAACTCCACTCCACTTGACCACCCAATTCATATATACGCAACATTTCGATTTAATTTCCATGGGAATATTTCACAGGGCCAAAACGCAGCTTCTTCTCCTTCCCTCCGCATTTAACTGTAAAAACTCCCTAACATCTCATTCCATTATTATATAAAATAAAAATACCGACTTTCCGTTATGCCAAGGTCTTGAGATTCCATTCGTCGGGGGCGGGGGGTTTGCTTTTATCTCCTACATATATTGTATTAAATTTTTGAACTTGATTGACGGGTCTTTTAATCTTTCAGGCCGTCGCCGGAAATCCCACTTTCCGGTTGCAAAGGGGTGCCGGTTCCGCAACTTCTTGGAATTTGGCGCCCTTTTCATCTCGGGTCACACAGATTTCAAATGCAATTGACCTGTTTCTGCACACAAAATCGCGTAAACGTGTGTATCTGTTTTCAAGCACGTACATATATAAATTTGTGTGCATAGTTGTCGTGATGGCCGTGGATTTTCCGGGGAGATCAATTCATAATGTGTTGGAAAGGGTCGGGATCAGCCAGAAGCGGTGCAGGTATGAGATCCACGCTCATGACGAAGATGAGGATGGGACGACAATGGAGATGGTGCAGCTTGGGGCCGAGAGGACAAAAAATGTGTTGATCCTCATGAGTGATACGGGCGGGGGCCACCGTGCCTCGGCTGAAGCCGTTCGGGATGCTTTCAAATTGGAATTCGGGGATGAGTACAATGTAAGCTCAACTTGCTTCCTGGTTCAGTATCTTTTTCGATGTTTCTTATCTTGAATCTAATTATACTGGTTGGGTAGGAAAGGTTAGTTTACCTTTATTCTATTCTATTATTCTAAGATGCTCTCACTGTACATTAGTATTGCCTTTAGCCTTTAGGGCTTGTTTGGTTTGGGGAGTTCGTATAGGAAGGAATGGGATGGGTGATATGTATATTTTAAATTGTGCTTACATGAAGGTGGTTAAAGAGAAAGTGATGATGAAAACTTAGGCAAAAATACATCTTTTATGTAAACATATAACATCAGTTAAAAATACATTACTTAACGCAAATCAATCATACCCTTCCATCCAAAATCTCCAAACCAAATGAGCCCCAATGGATGCTTACATTAGCCTTACCCTCATCTCAAAGCACCAATTCATCCTTACTTTATTGCATTGGCTGAATCGGTATGTTATACTAAAATGCTGATTAGGATTGTGTTCAGTTCTTGTGTGAAAAGGTTGAGATGAAGATAAATACCATTTTTATGATCGTATATATGTTCAGTATTGTTTCTTTTTAATTTATTAGAAATACAATCCAAATATTTTGTTTCTGATAATTCAGTCCATTCGGCTGTTTCAAACTTTCAACCAAATTGTAGCTTCACCACCAAATGCATTCACAAGTATATTCTTTTAAAAAGGTCTTATGTGTTCACTGAATTTCTATGTCTTTATTGTCCTGGCATCTATTTCCAGCTAGCATTGCTTTTTATGGGGGGGATCCACCAATTGTTTAGAATTTTAAAAAACAATTATTTTCATTTCTTTTTTGTTTTGTTTGGCCAGCTCTTGAGTTTGATGATCTGGTATTTGTACATTATGTTTATGGTCTCACATGGGTGAACATGTCCTCTCTGCAGTGGTCCTACGGACTTTCCATGATCTTGAAGAATGAAGATCAGTTAGATGTATTTATATTTTCTTTTTATTTTCTTTTTGCAGATTTTTGTAAAGGATGTTTGGAAGGAATACACTGGCTGGCCGCTGAACAACATGGAGCAGCAGTACAAGTTCATGGTAAAACATGTGCAACTGTGGAGTATTGCATTTCATGGCACCTCACCTCGCTGGATACATTCTATTTACCTTGCTGCCATTGCCGCCTTCTATGCAAAGTATATACCGCCTTTGTTCTTAATTAATAGTCCCCTTAGGTATTTTGTGGTTTTTAAGAAAGAAAATATAAAGGGTAATATCGAGGGTGTAGGGTAAACGAAAACGTAGGAAAAAGAAAGTAGTTTGTAAAAAGTTAAAAATCTGCTGATAAGAAAAAAATAAAAGGTTACCCCATCCTTTCCAAATTGATAGTTCCACACTTTTGGGCACAAAGTTTAAGAAAGTGAGATAAGCTTACCCAACTACCATTGTAAAAAAAGTTACCCCTTTTTAAAAAATTGAATTACTCATAAAGGTAAGGTTAAAATGGACATTTTATGTAAAAAGATGTGCCCAAAAAATGGTACTACCTTTTCGGGACACCGCAAAAAGGAAATATGAGACTATCAATTTGGGACGGAGGGAGTAATAAGCCGGCAATAGAAATACACTTTTATAATTGGATGCTAAATTCGGTTTTGGGTTTGGATAAAAGAAAATATAATCTCTTATTTGGCATATCTGAAAGTAATTAAAGTAATACTACTTATTTTTTATATCGTTCTTCTAAGGGGTTTGCTAATTGCATATTGGCTGTTGAATTGAAGGGAGGTAGAAGCTGGGCTAATGGAATTCAAGCCAGACATAATCATTAGCGTTCATCCTCTTATGCAGCACATCCCACTGTGGGTTCTTAAGTGGCAAGGTCTACAAAAGAAAGTAATCTTTGTCACCATCATTACAGATCTCAATACTTGCCACCGCACATGGTAAGTATTTTTAACAGCTTCAATTTCACCAGTAGGCATATTGGACTTGATCCCATAATTGTAACTTCTAAAAAACGGTTTTATGGTAGGTTCCATCCTGGTGTCAATAGGTTATACTGTCCCTCAGAGAAGGTTGCAAAGAGGGCACTCCTTGATGGTCTGGAAGAATCTCAGATACAGGTTTTTGGGTTACCTATCCGGCCCTCTTTCTGCCGGGCAGTTCTCTCTAAGGTGTTCTTCATAATTTGGATTTTGGTTGAACCATTTTATAATGTTTTATGTGTCAATATCTCTTACTTTTCGATTGGTATGGCTTAGGATGAGATAAGAGCAGAACTGCAGATGGATCCGGTGCTACCAGCAGTTTTGCTAATGGGAGGTGGCGAAGGCATGGGACCCGTCAAGAAAACCGCAAAGGCACTAGGAGAAGCATTGTTTGATAAAACTCTTGGGAAGCCGATTGGACAGATGGTGGTCATATGTGGGCGCAATGAATCCCTTGCCTTCACACTACAAGAACATGAGTGGAACATTCCTGTGAAGGTGATTGTTAAGCTATCGTAAAATACCAAAATACAAAATCACATGCAAGGCATTGAGCTATTCTTCCAGTTTGACCTCTTATGATAGAAATTGTAAGGCTTAATATGGTTAGTGTCAATTTAGAACAAGCAATCAATTGATTTGATTAAAACTGAGAAAGATGAAACTGCACATCCGTTAAATACAGAAGTGCAAACTCACATACAAGACATTCGAATATTCTCTTATGAGGTTGATCTTTTAATATCAAATTCCTAGTTTTAATTATAAAAATATATCTTATCCTCTAGTATCCATTCCTAAAGCATTCTCTCAGCGGTATTTATACACTGCTTTTACAGGACTAGACCATGTAGATTGTATCACAAATGGAACTACTTTATTTTTTTCCTTTACGCTATATGCGACTTTGTTATGAAGCAACAGTCAGTCCATGCAATTTTGGATGGGATTTTCACTATGGGTCATCCGGAAACAGTCTCTCTGTGCTTTAGTACAGGGGTAAGACTGCGTACATCCAACCCCCCCTTACCCCACCATAGGTGGGAGCATTTTCGGCACTGGGGTAAATGAAAATGATGAAATGAAATGACGCTATATGCGACTGTTCAAATCCTAGCTTGGCATGGGCATTGACAATTTATCATCTGTATCGCAGATAAGAGGGTTCGAGAAACAAATGGAAAAGTGGATGGGAGCTTGTGACTGCATTATAACAAAGGTGCATTCAATTTCCTTCTAGCTATCCGATATCCTTTCAGTCAAATTAGACATAATAATATGGAATTTTGAATTTAGGCCGGCCCGGGTACAATTGCAGAAGCCTTAATCAGAGGGCTTCCCATTATTCTCAACGATTACATACCTGGCCAAGTCAGTAAACTTAAATTTAATCCCCTGATTTGTTCTGTTTTGGCAACTTCATTTTTCAGGATTCATTTCTCAATTTGTATGTGCAGGAAAAGGGAAATGTTTCACATGTAGTGGATAATGGTGCTGGTGTTTTCACAAGAAACCCCAAGGAAACGGCTAGGATCGTCGTGGAATGGTTTAGCACCAAGTGTGATGAGCGGAAAAGAATGGCTGAGAACGCACTCAAACTTGCACAACCTGATGCTGTGTTCGACATTGTGAAGGATATTCACGAGCTTGCAGCACAACGAGGCCCTCTTGCTGATATCCCTTACACGCTTACCTCCTCTTTTTCAAGCTTAATATAATATAATGGCTAGATACTAGATAGATTTGCATTCTCCTGCCACGTCTAAGGTTTGTTGTTGTAGAATAACGTTTGTTATTATGTACAGGTAGTGTTATTCATTTATCTCATTCATTCAAGTCGATGGTTGTGAAGTTATTTATAAGCTGTTCTTCCTAGACAGACTGGATTTATATCTTGTGGTAGGTTTTTCCGTTTCAAGCGTATTATATCTCGTTGGAAAGATCATTTTGAGTTCTAAAACTATTGTTCCGACTCAATTTACAATGCATTATAGGGTATAAATTAACTTGAAATTCACAAACATTTCCGATTTCACTGCGAACACGTGTAGAAATTGATCTGATCATATGTTGCCATGTTGGTTTATTTAGTTCTGTTTAAAGCATTTTTAATTTCGTTGGAAAGATCTTATCGAATTCTAAAACTCGTCTTCGGGCATCGGTTTCAAAAAATTACGGGAAGATATCTAATGAATCGAATTTCAAATCCCAGATTGTATTTACGCTAAAAATGCTATATTTACTAGGGTTGGACTCGGGGTGGGCCAACCGGCCCGGAACCGGACCAGCCTGCTACTGTGCGGGCCCGGACCGGCCCGGTGAACCGGTTGGTTGGCCGGTTCGGGCCACCCGGCCCGGTGGGATGGCGGTTCGGGCTCGGGCCCTTCAAAAGGTGAACCGGCCCGGCCCGGGCCGGGCCATTTTTGTTTTGATTTTTTTTTAAGTTTTTGGGTTGGGTTGGGTATTTTGGGCCATTTGAGTTGATTAGGGTTGGTTTGGGGGTGAGGGGGAGGGTTGGGGGTTAACTAGGAAAAGCCAAAAAAAAATAGAACCGAGCCCTGGCTCGGCCCGGACTCGGGGGTTACCCGGGCCGGTTCCGGGCCTCCCATACCTTGAACCGAGGCCCGGCCGGTTCAAGGCCCGAAACTAAATGTATATTTCTACTTTAAGAAAATTTGGATTTTAAGGTTTTGAATTCTTAAACTTGAGGATGAAATTGTTTTGGAAATATTACTTATTTTAAGAGATTATATTTGACTTTGTAATGCTATGTGCGGTTATTATTTGAAATTACTTGAGTATGTGATATTGAATGAAATTATGTATATTTGAAATTTGTACGGATTATGATAGAAATGTTTATGGACTTTTGTAAATTATGAACTATTTTGTAATAGTTTATGAACTATTTTGTAAATTATGAGTTAAAGTTTTAAGGATAAAAATCCTATTTGTGAATTACATCTACGTATAGTATGAGATTTTGAAAGTTATTAGAGAGAAAGATATTTTGAACTACTTGATGAAATTATGATTTAAAATCCAAGGATAATAATCCTTGTTCCAAAACTATCTATGAAATATAGATATAGCATTTTTGGAAATTAATCAAGATAAAATGAACCTTTCATAATGTGTAGCATTGCGGGAGAAATCCGCGGTGTCGGTTTTCCACATCCGGATAAATGTGGAGAGTTGTTAGGGCTGCTATTACTTGGGGAGGACCGATAACCATTCCGGGTAATTTGGATCGGTAACCATTCCGGATAATTTGGACCAGTAATCAATCCGAGTAATTGAGGATATTTTGGGGGCTCGGTAACCAATTCGAGCAAATTAATAATTTTATGTTGGGCAAAGGACCCTTTTTATTTTGAAATATTTTTGTATAGATAAATATAATTACCTGTGTAAAACATAAATAATTATTGTGCCTATCAAATTTCACCACACTTGAGCGTTGCTAGTTCTTGGGCAAGTCTTTCACCTTTAGGTGCCTTGGTTAAGTTCGGCAAAGATATATATACAAAAATAATTTTAATTTTAAGAGAGGTAAAATGAGTATATATACTCTTTTATCATTCTCGGTCCAAAACCATTAATTTATGGCTAAAGGGTCAAATAGGTCCTTGTACCCTTTCGGATTGCTCAATTTGCCTCACCCTGAACTCGATAAAAATATTCAAATTTCACTTTTTGCAGGTTTCAATCCGATCACCGCCACGTCACCCGGTAGGGTGCCAACTGTGCATGTGACGTGGCAACTTAGGGGGTCAAATAAGCTCCTGAACCCGATCGAATCGTTCAATTTACCCCCTCAACCCTAAAAAATGTAGACACATTTTTAAGGGTTGAAGGGGTAAATTGAACATTTCAGTCGGGTTCAGGGGCTTATTTGACCCCCTAAGTTTTCATGTCACATGCACAGTTGGCACCCTACTGGGTGATGTGGCAGTGACCGGCTTGTAACCAGCAAAAAGTAAAATTTGAACCTTTTTATGGAGTTCAGAGTGCCAATTGGAGCTTTTTTTAGTTCGGGGGGCAAATGAACAATCCGGAAAGGTACAATGGACTATTTGACCCTTTAGCCTTAATTTATTAGACACAAAAAATATCATTAGATTTAAAAAATTTACTTATACTCTTGAGAATTGATGAATGGATTGTGACTAAGGCTTTTTGGATGTGTGGAATGGCTTTTTGATGTATTTGACTTTTCAGTATATAAATAGATCATTTGAAATTCTTGGAAGAGCCCATGCGCTATATTTTCTTTAACTCATTTGAAATGGTTCTCAACAAGTATTTACCAAAAATCATTTTGATGATTCCATCTTATTTGATGAGATATGAGAGTGACTTGTATTCCAAAATGGTTATCGAATATTGGAGATTTATTTAAACCATTTTTGGAAATGAAAGAAGATGATGTTTCCTAGTCACAAGGTTTCTTTTGGGAATGGTTTTGAGTAAAAAGTAGTGTAATAAATCTTAAAAAACGACATTTTTTGTGAATAATAAAAAAAACGTTATCAAACAAAACCCATTAAAAAGAGAAATATCACAATTTTTACCTTCGTAAAAAAATTGCACACAAAATTTGTTTAACTACCCATGATATGCATCCCACACTTAAAATACATTGTCTCGATGTATGATGCATAGAAAAGCAAATATTTCCTTCAACATCCATAATTAAGTATGTTTGAGATGATCATGTCAAAATTAAAGCCGGTAGAAATATGAAATATCATTTGAGACCTTAAATCTAAATTAAATTTTCCAATTTATGAAATATCATTTGAGACCTTAAATCGAAATTAAATTTTCCAATTTATGATTGGATTATATATATAGATACACACATACATATATGAGAAATTTGCTTTAGGTAGTACCAAATCATAGCTGATTTACCAAAAGGGAACTGCCTAATGTTTTTTATATACGTATCACCTATTTAGTTCCATATTAGGAAACTTAATAGGTGACTTTCCAAATTTGCCCTTCAAATTAAAATTAGGTATGCACGGGAAAATAACTTCCGCAGCTAACGACTTCGGTTTCCTTCTTCCGCAGTGGGACATCTCTGTTCTTCTGCATCGTTCCTCAGGTGTAGCTCAATTCGACAAATTTCTGTCGAATCTCTACAAGCGTTCTCTCTACCAATTTCCGGCGAATTCCACATGTAGAATCACAATTGTTCTCCACATGTATAATCTCTACAATTGTCTCTCCTTTTGATGTTGCTCTTCAAAAATCTGTAAGTTATATTCGAACAAAGCTGCCAAACTTTTACAATTTCAATTTCATATTGGATATGAACGAAAATTGTTTATCGTCTTGTTATCTTCGTTGTCAAATTTATAATATTATTCTACTATGTCTATTTTTACTTTTCTGGGTGATGTTTGTTGTTTTTTTTCGTATGTGACTTTTGTATGTTTTGAGTTTGTTGTTTTGAATTTTGTTTGTTGATTTGAGTTTCGTATTGACTGCATGTATTCAGTTACTGTTTTTAGTTATAAGGACATTTTTATGATTATTAGTTCATTAGACATTTTGTATGATGTTGTTAATAACATATCGTGTTTGCTTTTTTGTATTGACAGTGATCGCAAACATGTTGCTTATGCTTAAGGTGGATGGTAGTTGGGACAACTCATATGTTTTCTGCAACAAACGATGCTTTGGCTTAATAGTACATGAGGGGACATTATATGTTGACTTTGCTTCCATGGTTTACTCATGTATTGGTGAATCTGTTACCAATACAAGGCTTATAATGTCTAACCTTGTAGATTCATGTTCACCTCCTGTTCTTGTTAATGATGATTCTAGCTTGGGATTTTACTTGGCTTTAAAAAAAATTGACAGTGACTATGATAAGTTTCCTTTGTGTGTTGAATTGTTTACTGTCCATTCTTCTGTAAATCAACCAATGTGTTGTGAGGCTTCTGCACTTGATCTTAATATTCCTTCCAAGTCACCGGTGATTAATGTCCTAGAACAAGATATGCCTCCAAATTTTCTTCCAATTGATCTCAATGTTTCTGCCAGTGCTTCACTTGATGCTCAGCCAAATGGTATTAGTGTTTCTACTGATTTTAGTCATTCCTTCCCCAATTGTAATCAGTCAATGCCTTTGGAAGATACACATTCATCTTCTAATCAAGTCACAAATTCAGCTTGTCCTTTTGATCCTTTGGAACATGATTTAATACTTTCTAGGAGTTCTAGTCATACTTCTTCAAGTCAACCTATTAGTTTGCATTCAGATGGTCATTCAGATTCACTCTTTGTGGTTCCCATGGGTACCACAAAGAGATTCACCAGATCAAGGTTGTCAACCATGTTGATGTACTTTTCTGCGCATTTTACAGTGCTTTGATTCCCAATAAAGAAATTAGCAATTAAATGCAGAATTGCTAACTTTACCCTATCCAAAGGCTGCTTTTCTACCATTATGTTATCAAACTCTTCAAAAGCCCTCTTAATGTCTGCCCTTGACACGTTATTCCTTGAGTTGAAAAATCTTTTCCAGATATCACCTTTAGACTATATGGATATTACAGGGTTTTCACCTCCCATCTTGAATCATGTTATTAGGGCAAGCTCTTTTTTATAGAAACATACCAATCTGTCACCAATGTTGAAGATGAAGCGGTCTCTGTAAGCTTTATTGTTCAGCCTTTTGACATGATTTTCGACAATTAATATGAGCAGCTGACCAGTGATCCACTGAACATCTCCAATGTCTAGCATTTTTCCAAATGTCGTGTTTCTGAATTCTACCAATTGCTCCTCACTTAGCATTTCATTTATTTTTTCGATTACGTTGTACAAATTGGAGGAGCAGTTAACTTTGAGATCTGTTTTATTGTCAAGCAATCCTCTGCCACATGATCTTATTATTACTTGCTAGATGCACAAACATTACTTGTACATTGTCAACATTATCTTATAAACTACATAGATAATACATAAGTTATTTATTGTGTTATTAGTAAAGCCCAATTTGATCAATAATATATGCCCATTTTGAAATCACTGTCTATTAACCATATATGAAAACCACAATCTCTGAGGACCACTTCAAATGAAAATATTGTCCATTTAAGTTGGTTCATTAACAAAGCTCAATTGATAAAACAATATATGACCAAAAATCATTTCAGATCACTGTCTATGACCACCTCAAATGAAAATATTGGCCACTTAACTTGGTTCATTAATAAAGCTCAATTGATAAAACAATATATGACCAAAAAACATTTCAGATCAGTGTCTATGACCACCTCAAATGAAAATATTGTCCACTTAACTTGGTTCATTAATAAAGCTCAATTGATAAAACAATATATGACCAAAAACCACTGTCTATGACCACTTTATCAAAAGCAATATATGTGAGCATTACATCAATTACCAAAATCAAATGTAATTATTGTCTACATTATCTCAGAAACATAATGTCCTTACATAAGCAACCTATTAACTTGTTTCATTAAATAAAGCTCAATTGATCAACAATATTTGACCACACACCATTTTAAATCACTGTGTTTGAGAACTATATTGAAAGCAAAATCTGTGACAACTACCAAACAAATTGCCTATTGTGTTTGAGAACTATATTGAAACCAAATTGAAATTATTGTCTACAATGACTATATCAAAACCGTAATTACTGAGATTTTATCAAATCAAATACCAATGCATGTCTTCTAATACTAATTTCAACTCAAACACTTTGCAATGACAATGAATTGGATTTTCAATCTCTCTACTGTAGTCATTATTTCACAGTTTCATAATATTAAACAAAAGTAATTGTAGACATTACCTTGCCACATGGAAGAACCTCTGGTTTCACTTCTTCGTTTTTATTCTCATTCGTTAGTTTCTTCTCCTTCGTTTCAAAGTCGTCGTCTGAAACTTCATTCTCGTTTTCTAAGTTTTCTTCATTTTTGTCTTCCGACTTCTTCTTTCTCTTCACCATTTTTATCGTCTTTCTCTGTGGCGTTTTCTCCTATTCGAAGTGCTCTGAAATCGTCTGAAATCGTTTTCAACTTCCCCACTTCTCTCTATCTCTCTCATACCGGACATTTCCAGTTAATGGAGAGGAGCAAAATCCATTTTTTTTGTATGTCTTCTTCGGCAAGTCTAGCTCATTCATATCAAATTTGAAATTTGAGCAAAAATGTTAGTACCTTTAATCATAAATGACTAGGTTAATTGCCGCTACTACTACCAAATTAGTGTGGGGAAAAATGTTAGTAACTTATAAATACATTAGTACTCTTCATTTTAATCATTTACACCAGTTTTAACTTTTAAGTATTCTCTCCGTTCCATAAATTTCTTCTCACTTTCCTTTTTGGGTCGTCCCAAAAAAATCTTTCCACTTACTATTTTTGGACAATTTGTGTGGTTCACATTCATTTCACTTTTTTCTTACACAACTATAACCATATATTTTATGCAAATTATAATGTATGACCGGTATACGGTGAGCACCGTATACCGTTATACAGACTACTTCTTTATTTATTTTCCCTTTGTTTTTAAAAAATGGTAATAACTTTTTTATTTTTGATCCGATTATTATAAAATTTATATCAACATTTTTTATTTTTCATGATCTTTCAAATGAGACCAATATTGCTTATGTAATTTTAAGAAATTATCGAACTATTATATTAATGAGTATTGGATTATAAGGAAAATCGAACTAAATTTAGTACAGAAAAATAATTGTGTAAATCACAATTTATCTTAAAATTGTGTATATAAAAAATTTATTGTAATATGTATTTATACATGTGAGTTACATATTTTTATGCGTAAAGTTACATATTTTTACACGTAAAGTTACATATATATATATATACACACGAGTTGCATTTGGCCTGTCTGAACGCGAGTTACATATTTTTACACGTAAAGTTACATATTTTTACATGTAAAGTTACATATTTATACACGCGAGTTACATATTTATACACACGAGTTGTATTTGACCTGTCTGAACGTGAGTTACATATTTTTACACGTAAAGTTACATATTTTTACACGTAGAGTTACATATTTGTACACACGAGTTGCATTTGGTCTGACTGGACGTGAGTTACATATTTCTACACATAAAAATTACATATTTTACATAGATTAATATAATAGTTCGATAATATGTTAAAATTACATATGCAATATTGGTCTCATTTGAAAGATCATGAAAAATAAAAAATGTTGATATAAATTTTATAAAAATCGAATCAAAAAAATAAAAAAAGTATTAACATTTTTTAAAAATAGAGAAATAAAAAATAATACTCTCCAACTCAAACTGCCTATACACAAGGTATATTTTCACTTTATTCCATTTCTTAATATGCCTTATCAAATTGGGGAAGAATTTCCTTGATGCTCCATCCTCACCCGCACGGCTCAGTGGCTCACGCACAACTGCAGTGCCGCACTCCACCGACCACCGTCTCCACGCAGCAGATTCCGCGGTTCGCCTTCCCGCCTTCGGATTCGCCTGTCGCCGGTCGGCCTTCCAGTTCCAGGACAGCACCCCAGCTTCGAAGTAGTTCAACTCTTCGAAGCCAGCAAGCCTTCAAGAGTTCTTGTCAGGTACACCCCGTACACCTTTCGAAATACAAAATTACAGTTCTCAATATTTTCTTTTATTAATTTATTTGATTAATATGCACATATGATTATGTGATAAGTTTATTGAATGATAAATTGATTTAATTCATACTCGTAGTTGTTTAATGTTTATAAATGATTATGAATAGTTGATAAATAATTAGTTGATTTCTCACATGTTAGTCACTAATTGTCGATTTTATCTATTGAGTGCTGGTGTTAAGTGTTATAATTTGTTCATTTTGTTAGGTAAAAATTTTCAATTACAATTAAATTTATGGTTTTAACCTATGTTGCACGGAAACGGGAAACGTACACTTTCCCGAGAGTTTCCATGCTACATAGGTTTTAACTAATTTCAAGGTTTAATAAAAATGGTTGAATCTGGATGGGAGAAAAAAAATGAAGAAGAGTAGATTAGATCATGCGGCCCTAAGTAAAAAAGGTGCAATGGAAAAGATTTTTTTAATGAAGAAGACATATTCTGTAGGTCCTCCTGAAGATGAGAACATTTCATAATGATCATTTCATAGGAGGTGAAAATTTAGGAGTTGATAACATTGATAGTGAGCAACCAAAAAATGATTTGGATAGATGATAGATCAAATGTATCAACTTCAATTGATGGTCCTTTGATTTTGGATATTTATGACCCCGCTGATTGGGGGAATCTAGATGCCAAAAAACGAGATATTGTAATTGAAAAAGGCCCTATAAGAGAGACACAACTCAATTATCCTCTTGATGTCAAGTGTAGACATTACTCAATTATTTTGAAAACGTGATTCGACCATGTTTAATTTAACGAATTCAAGTATTTTGTTAAATTATAAAGGTCTTCAAATATTATTATTTTAGAAATTGCCCAATATAGGACTAAATATAAACATAATTGCACAAATAGGAGTAAAGCTTAAAACTTCCTTCAATAGAATTAAACATTAATTTTGTACCCTTAATATCCCTAACGTAGTTAATTCTAAAATATGACTTATTTAATCCTAACCTAGTTAATTTATGACTTATTCGATAATAATAATTTATTTATTTATTTATTTTTCAAAAAATAAAAAAATATATTTAAAAAAAAAAAAATAAAAAACTCAAAAAAATAAAATAAAATTCACCGCCGCCTTTGCCGCCTCAGCACCACCACCTCCAATCACCGGGAAAAAAATGCCGAGTTCATTACGAATGCCATATTTATGGCAGAAAACAATGAAAATGTTGGCATTCGCAAAGAGAAATATGCCATGTTTTTGGCATTTTCAGGAAAAAAGCAGTTTTTAGGAAAAATGGAATTTTTTTTCACCGCCCGGAGGTGGTGGTGCAGGGAGGTATTACAAGCGGTGGGAAAGGCATCCATATATTTTTATTTTTTTATGGAGTTTTACTATTTTTTATTAATTTAAAAAAAAAATTAAAAAATATTTTTTTTTTAATTTTTTTTATTTTATTAATATTTTATAAATTTTTTAATTATTTTTCTACGATTTTTTGAATTTTTTTCGAATTTATTATGAATTAAACATTTAATTAAAAGTTGTTGGGGTTTGGGTAGGGGTATACTTGTCCAAACACTAAAGTTACTCCTATTCAAAACATGGTACTCATATTTTTGCATTTTGCCTATGTTTTGCTCCTATTTGGGGAATTCTCTTTTATTATTTTGCATGTTAATTTAGATAGAAATGGGTTTTACAATTTTTTTTAAAAGTAGACCCATTTTAAATTGTTCGCCCCTAGGCCATCAAATAGACAGGGCCGCCCCTGACATAGTAGTGCCGCTCTCTCAACCACGGAGGCAGAATCCATGGCGATTGTAGAAGCAAGTAAAGAGCTTATATGGTTGAAGTCTTGAAGAACATCCTATCAGGGTTGGAGCTTGAACAGAAAAATAGTGTTCTGTATTGTGACAACCGGAGAGTGCAATTCATCTCGCAAAGAATCCGGTGTTTCACAGTGGAACTAAGCACATCAAGATGAATTATCATTTTATCAGGGAGTTGATAAATGATGGAAGTTGCTACTGACGAAGATTCTTGGCACAAAGAATCCCGCTGATATGTTTACAAAGCAAGAAAGGGTGAAAACACACTACCGAATTTCCTGCGCGAACATCTCAGAAGAATCGAAGAGCTATGTGAAGCATCCTCCCTTACGCTCACACACATGCTTCGGGAAGGGAACCACACAGCCCACTGCCTCGCTCAGGAAGGACGCTTGGTTCAAAGTTTGACGAGATTCACTGAAGAAAATCTTCCTCCTGGTGTGAGACGTGCGTACATGGATGACCGAGAGGGATGAACGACGTTTCGAGACAACGGTTGAGCTCTCGCATATTCTGGAATCCTCCCCTAGGGCTCCAGCACCTTTTTATTCTTTGGCCGGTTCGTGTCTGGGCCATCAAAATTTGGAAGGATAATGTCTCATGATGGGCCTGTTTTGGTCCTACTTCACCTTTTCCCCATCTCTCCTTTCTTTCATTTTAATTTTATTTGGGACAATGGGCCCAATATGTAACTTCGGGAATTTTCCCCTACTTCTAACTTAAATAAAATTTCAACCTTCTTTCAAAAAAAAAAGATGGTGACAAGTGACAACTGAGAAGTTGAAGCTTTGCATGGCTTCAACTGGCCTTCAAGAATAATGTTGAGAAGGCAGGTGACAACTAGGTGGAGCTAGAGAATAGATGGTGTTTACAGAAGTATCGAGGAGTGAAGTGGAGTGCAACTGATCATGTTTCGAAACCTCCAAGTGGGAGATTGTTGGGGTGTAGGCTTCGCCAGATAAACAAGGAACTGCAGCCGGCCCTAGCTAGATGGGCAGCTAGTACTTGTAACACAACTGACTGTATTTTATCATCACCTCAATAAGAAAGAAACCCCTAGTTGCCCCCGTGGATTAGGTCAGTAACATTTACTGGCTGAATCACGTTAAATTCTTGTGCCGTTCTTCTCATTTTTCTTTCTAGTTTTTTCAGATTTGTGTGTGTGAGCCATACGGATGGATTGGGACGGGTCGGTCTGACCTGGGACCCGGCCCGGTACTGTGCAGGCCCGACCTGGCCCGGCGGTACCGGGAATGGGGCCCGAACCGACTGTTTATGGGGCGGGCTACGGGCCCTGATTTTAGTGGACCGGCCCGGTCCAGGCCAATTTTTTTTTTAATTTTTGGCATTGGGCTGCTGCTAGGTGGGTTGGGTTGGGTGTTTTGGCGGGGTTTGGGGGTGGGGTGGAATAAATCCGAAAAGACTAATTAAAAAAATTGACCCAACCCGGGCCCAGTCCGGTCCCGGCCCGGTCCGGTCCCGGTTCAAACCCGGGCTAGTACCATGCCTTCATCCCAAAACCCCAGTCCCAACCAATCCCGGACCGGCACTTCGACCCGGTCCCGGTCCATGCTTAGTGAGCCCTAGAGATCCTAACGCTAACACCCTCATCATACAGATCTTCAGGCACCTGAGCAAGGACCTCGATTGACTTACCTTTTGCGTTCTACATCTGTTATTTTTTTTTAACATAATGCTCACTCGTTCGCTGGCTATGTATTATGTTAATTGTTTTTATTCCTTCATTTATTTAATAATTATTCAAAATTTCAAACCGAAGCAGTCTCCTTCATTATGCAGTTCATTTCTTGTGCCGAAATAGATGCATTCCTTGTGTATAAAATTGGTTTAGTACAGATTACTTATTGTGGAATTCAGATGAATTACATGAAGCCACTAAACATGTTTCAAGAAGTGATGAAGTCTCGCGGGCGTTTGCTTGGTTTAGATGTGGGCTATAAGTATGTTGGTCTGGCTGTTTCAGATTTAGAAAACAAAATAGCATCACCATTGAGGTAATGCAGCTTCTGCAAAACCGTTGACTTTCACCTTTACCTTTTCCAGTACGCATTTATGTTTAGGATTAGAGAATCTTTTATTGAATAATGTTGATGTATGCAGTGTGCTGCTTCGCAAAAAATCAAATATTGACTTGATGGCCACTGATTTCCAGTCTCTTGTAAGGATTTTCTACTCAAATAGCTCATTTTGTCACTTTCTGAAGCAAAACTATTCAACTAGCTGACTAAGACATGGTTTGTATTTACTCATGTTTGCTGCCTACTAGTTACAGATTCTGTTTTATGGGTAACAGTTGACATTCATATATGGTTGACTACAAAATTTATTATTTCGGGCTCTACAAATGGTGGTTTGATGCTTTTGTTGAGTATAGTAGCTATATTGGAACTTCTTACAACCTGCTGTGTGCTCTCTGTCGTGTCACAAATAAAAAAAATTATTCGTAGAATTGAACCAGTGTTGTCAATCCCAAATAGCGGAGCGGCCAGACCCCAAAACGCTATAGCGGTATAGCGGATAGCGGGATGACCGCTATTTAGGCTACTTTCAAATATAATAAATAAGTAACTACTAGAAGCATATATAATACATTACATACACATACACATATTGAATTCAAAAAGTATGATATATGTCAATGAAGGTTGCAAACATCATAACATTCATAAATCCTAAATTACTTAGAAATACTCTTTAGTTTCATGAGCAAAACAAAAGATGCTATTAATGATTAAAACATCTTAAGTCAAAACATTGAATAAAAAATAAGGTTTTAGTTTAAGGGTTTAAGCCTTGATATATTAACAGTCAAACTGTTCCACTTCCAAGATGGGTCAAGTTGTTCTCATGTGGGCTTAAACAAAGGTTATCAAAGTCGTGCGCCTGAGCGCTTAAGCGCAGTAGGCGCAGCGCTAGAGAGGTCCAGCGCCCTATGGATGGCCAGTCGCACCTTCCTTTCTAAGGAGCAGGTAAGTCACGCAAAGTGCAGATGCGCTATAAAGCGCTCGCTGAACGCGCATGAGAAGGGAGGGTTTATTTCCGGTTTTACTTCGCATGTGCGGTCAAACAAGACCATTAAGAAGCCTATTTTTTTTACTAAAGCCCATGTAAATAAGGTCAAAACAACTTAACCTAAGCTAAACACATAACGTAAACCTCCTGCTCTGCTCAACGATCGAAGTAAGCGTTCTTGTCCTTCATCTTCCATTTTATTTACTATGTATATTACTATATAACACAATATAATAAAGTACTAGTATATTACTATGTATATAATACTCTATATTACTCATAATAATGTATTAATACTCTGCATTACTCTATATTACTCATAGCACTAGTATATTGTTATGTATATTAAAAAGTAATAGTACTCGGTATTACTCTATATTACTCACAACATTAGTATATTGCTTTGTATATAATAGTCATAATACTCTGTATTACTCTATGTTACTCACAGCACTAGTATATTGCTATGTTATTAATAAAGTAATAGTACTATGTAGGCTCACAAGTTTAACAAGGGGAAATAGGCTCCAATTTGATTGTCTTTTACTTATAGTTTTAGTATTAAAGCCATAAATTCTGAATTTGGTGTTTTATTTTTTGTAAATCATGACTTTATTTTGGTGAATCCTGGATTTTATATGCATTTGGTTCAATATGATGTTACATACATCATATTTGGTAATGCCCTTTTTTGCGCCTTGCGCCTCACGCCTCAGGCGCTAGAAGACTCCTAGCCCTTCAGGTGCGCCCCCAGGTGCGCCTTTCGACTCTGACTACCTTGCCTTAAACATGGCAGTAGACTGACTAGACCCCATACGGGAAGAAGAAAAGAAGATTCACTGCAGGTTTGCAGCAAAGGTTGGAGAAGAAGATGTTGCAGCAGAAGATACTACTGAGAAGAATGAAGGAAGAGGAGGGCAGCATGTGTCGTTGTTGGAGAAGAACCAATCGCAGAGCAGACACAGAGCTTTCTTGGAGAAGAACTCAACGCAGAGGATCAACGGAGTATTTTCAAAAGCTGGAGCCGGTTTGAGCCTTTACGTACGTGTGAGGGTTTTAAGGGGGTTAATATTTTGTTTTAAAAGTCTAGTTTACCCCTTCTACCTCCGCGACTTAAAAATTTAACGCCAAAAAACCCTCGCAGATTGCGCAGTACCCGTTTACCACAAAACTCGCCGCTTTAGCGGCCGCCACAACCTTCTCCGCACCACTGCTATAGTGGGCGCTATAGCCGCTACACCCAAACGCCACGCTGCAGCCCTCCTCGTAGCGCCTTCCATGTCTGCCGCTCCGCTAAACCGCTATAGCGCGCTATAGCGCTGCTATTAACATCACTGAATTGAACATATTTTTACTTTGCATTTGCTTTTTCAAAGGTAAACGAATCTTGATGAAAATAAAATAGAAGTCCTTAGTATTTGCCCCCTTCCTTCCCCTACCATTTCCCAAAATAACTTGATCTTTTCTTTCTGGCTTATGTCACCTAAACACGTGCATGCCTCAGGAACCAATATTATTTCCCATTAAAAGTTATTACTTCAGTTGAAGTTTACTGCTTTATTTGTAAAATTACCATTTTGGTGATTTATTTGTAATAATCACTATTATTATTGTTATAATAATAATTAATATTCTTACTTTTCTATTTGATACACTCTCTGTGCAGGCCTTTAAACTTCATAAAAACCTTTTGTTTGTGACTAAATCATTTTCTTTTGATCATGTACAGATCTCTAAGCTTTCTTTGGAGGGATTTGTTTTTGGCTACCCTTTTGATCGCCAAAAAAATAGCCCAACTGTAGGTTTTATTTGTCTTTGTGTGTGCTTTTCCAATTCTTTTTCGGTTTTTCTTTTCTTAGAATTTGATTCATCACCTCCTTGCTAGGCTGTGCAAGTTAAACTTTTGATTGATGATCTTTCTCATACTGGGAAACTTGATGGTGTGAAATATACTTTTTGGGATGAAAGCTTCACATCAAAGGTATGCTCTTTTTGAAGTCTGTAGGACTTTAAAAGTGTGAATCGCAGTAACTCCCTTACAGGATAAGTCTAAACTCTTGCCTTTATCACATCCCGAAGTATTTGTTTTTACTTTGCCAGTTCTTTTTATTCTTCTGCCCCCTTCTCCATCCCCCCAAAGGAGAATAGGAAATAAGAAAAAAAAGCTAGTTTTGATAGGCAGCTCTTAGTAATTGAGATCTTTTGGGATTAAGTACTGGGTGTTGTTTTTGTGGATCGAAATTGTACTCTCAGGGCTGACTTCATTTATTTATATGAAGTAGTTGCTATATATGTTAGGTGGCTGGCTGGCTGATTGTAAAACCAGAGTATTTTCAATTGGAATGGAGAAAGAGATGAGAAATGTAGTGGATGATTAGTTTTGTTTGGCATAACAGAATAGGAAAGATAGAGGTGAGAGACAAATCTTTTTTTGAAAAAAAGAGAAAGCAATGAATTAAATGATTTTTTTTATAAAAGAGACAAACACCCCTTATGTGGGCGCTGTGCAATTTTAGCCACTGCCTTTCCACTTCTCCTACTCCTACATGTGTGACAAGGTTAATATGCTCTGTCCACTCAACTTCTCTCCCCCCTATTTCACTCTATCTCTAATACCCAGCAGACCATGAGTGTCATATACATATCATAGACGTTTTGCATAATTCTCATTGCGCATTGAGGCATAAGGCTAAAGTGTAAATCTTAATGCATAGGAAAGTTTTTATATAAAATTTATAGCTAATAAGAAATTAAAGTTCATTCAAAATAACATACTCCGTATTTAATTACCAAACTGAAAATAATGTCGTAAAATAAGGGAAATTTTGATGTGAAAATGACATCATAGAAATTGTTTATTCTAAAATCCCAAGTTTTTTGATTGATGAATGCAAAAGAGAATTGCTAAGATAATATTTAAACATTATTTGATATATTAATATAATTCAAATTACAGATATATACGATTATACTTCAAACAAAAATTCAAATTATATCATGAAAAGTCCACTAAGAATAACGAAAAATGTTGAGTATAAATAATTAAAAACATTGCCTAAAACAGAGAAAACAGTAAAATTCACGGCAAGAAGTAATTTTGAGCCTAAATAAGCATTAAACAAAAAAATTGAATCTAGCTGGAATCCACTCAAAATAATATATACCTATGAAAAAATAATATATACCTACTTCGTAGGGAGTGCATAATCTAATGATCCTCTCAAGAGACACCAAAAGGATATTATCAGAGGCATATCAGAAGTCCAGAAAGATACTTTAGAACCCACTCAAAGTATTATACTTTGTACTTTGTATATAATCTCGTCTCCCTACTTAAACATGCTGGCACATGCCTAGGGAACAGATGGACATAAATGCTGCCAGCTTCCAATCTGCCAGCTTTCCTTAGCCTCATGGTCAGCCATGTAAAGCATTCTGATCCTTCTTGTTGAAACCCTAGTTGTATTGGGCTTAGCCCATCTTGTATAGTAACCCTAGTGCTCTAGTTTTAGCTATAAATATAGCTACTTGTACAGTTCTTTATATCAAGATTTATTACAATGAAATACAGTTTATATAGTTTACATGGTATCAGAGCCTAATCAGCCTATATGGCAAGCAATAGTTAGGGGCTGGTTTCCGTCAAGCATTTCCGGCATAATTTCCGGCGTGAACAGTAGCTGCGATTGGTGTTGGAGCACACTTCCGGTAGTGAATATCTGATCTACACCTACCGCCTTGCTCAGCATACCATCGCGACCAACCAACCGGAACAGTACCGGCACAGAGGCTACCACGCGCCCTCACGCGCCACCGCCCCTTCCTGTAGCTGACTTTCATATTTGCAGATCTACCCCGTTCTAGTTATCCGGAGATCTCACAGCCTATACCCTGACGACCTGGAGGTCCTGGCGACTAGAACAGCGTAACGCAGGCGCTCATCGGACAACCTAAGCGCCGCCGCTGATCTCACGCGCCGCCGCCAAACTCCGCCTGCCGCCGCTCGGTCTGTCTGCCGCCTCTCGGTCCGCCTGCTGCCTCTGCCACTGTTTTGCTAGGCCCAAGGTCAGTTTTTTCCTTAACCTCTGCGCCCAAGGTCGTATCTTCCCAGGCTGCTGTTCCATATTTCCGCTGCTGTGTTGCTGCCTTGGGAAGTTGCTACTGCTATTTTTGTATGTTGCCTTGGGAAGTATTTCCGTATGTTTAATTAATCAATTAATTAATTAGTGGTGCACTATTTGATGTTTAATTACTGTTGTAATACTACGTACTTCAGATTGAAATTGTTTCTGCTATCCTTAAAAAAAGTCAAAAAAAAAGAAGAAAAAAAAGAAAGAAAAAAAAATGTCAAGTTTCTCTTCGTTTGCTTCAGTTCCAATCATCACCGCCGATCGACTAGCTGGAAGTATTAATTATCAATTATGGGCTATTTCTGTGGAGATGTGATTCAAAGGTCAAGGTCAAATTGATCATTTGAATGTCGATGCAAATACGATCAAAGACAAGCGGAATGAATGGGAGAATATGGATGCCTTATTGTGTAACGTGTTATGGCAATCTATGGATTCAAAACTTCATCCTACCTATCAATCATACCGCACTTGCAAACAGATTTGGGAAAAAGCTAAAGCCAACTACACAAATGACATCCAAAATCTATTCTCCTTTGGTTCCAAAATTGCTACGCTCAAACAACAGGATTTTGATGTTCAAGAATTTCTAGGACGGGTTGAGGCATTACTGTTTGAATATAATAATATTCAACCTATCAGTCTATCACTGAAGATAAGGAGAAACAACTTGAGCAAAGACAACAACTTGTTATGGTTTTAACCTTAGCAGGTCTTCGCCCAGAGTTGTTATCAATACGTGAGCAAATTCTCTCCCAAGCCTTTGCCAGAATTCTTCGAGAGCCGCACCAATATCTGCTGACGCATCCTCAAGTGATTCTATCATTCTTGCATCTCAAGGTTCAGGGCATAATGGGGAAAATAAAAAAGGATATCCACGACGCGATCGCCCCAAGTGTGATTTTTGTCATAGGATGGGTCATACTAAAGATAGGTGTTGGAAATTACATGGTAAACCTTCCAGCTCTGCCAATGTTGCTCAAATCCCGCAAGTTCCAGTAGTGCTACCTCCAGACGAATATGAGGCTTATCAGAAATTTAAGAAGTCCACTCTGACTTCATCAACATCAGGTAATTCTACAGCATGTGTGTCAAACACCACTGGCTCGTGGATCATTGACTCAGGTGCTTCCGACCATATTTCTGGTAATCCTCATCTTTTATCCCATATTACCAAACACCAAAATCTTCCATTGATCACCCTAGCCAATGGTCTTCACACCTCGGCTACGAGTATTGGGCAAGCACTTCCACTTTCATCCTTACCATTAAATTCAGTTTTATATGTTCGTCATAGCCCTTTTAACCTTGTCTCTGTTAGCAAAATTACACGCTCTCTTAATTTTTCTATAACTTTTTATGTTGACTCTGTGACTGTGCAGGACCGTTGTACGGGGAAGATGATTGGCATCAGGCGTGAATCTCAAGGCTTGTATCACCTCCAACCTCTTGATCCAGTTGTTTGTGTGTCCGCTGAACCAACACTTTCCTTACATAATCGTTTGGGTCATCCCAGTGTCTCCAAATTTTGACGTATGGTCCCAGGTTTCTCAAGTATTTCCTCTTTAGATTGTGAGTCGTGTCATCTTGGAAAGCAACCTCGTCAGTCCTTTCCAAGATGTGTCAATAACAGGGCTGTGTCCCCTTTTGATTTAGTTCATACAGATGTATGGGGTCCGTATCGAGTCAATTCTACCCTAGGATTTCGTTATTTTGTCATTTATGTGGATGACTTCTCCCGTCACACGTGGTTGTTTCATATCTTTCAAAAGTTTTGGGCTGAAATTCACACCCAATTTGGTCGTTCTATCAAGATTCTACGTAGTGATAATGCTAAAGAATTTTTTACCACTCCCTTTAATCAATTCATGACATCGCGAGGTATGCTTCATCAGTCTTCTTGTGTTTATACACCAAAACAAAATGGGGTTGCTGAACGCAAGAATAAACATTTAATTGAAACTGTCCGTACTATGTTGTTACATTCACATTCACCGCCTCAGTATTGGGCAGATGCCGTTCTCACTGCATGTCATCTCATTAACAGAATGCCTTCTTCGGTTCTTGGTAATGTCATTCCCCATTCTGTTTTGTTTCCATCTCAGGCACCGTTTCCATTACCACCTCATGTGTTTGGGTGTGTTTGCTTTGTCCATGATACCACACCAGGAATATCCAAAATGTCTGCTAGGTCAATCAAATGTATCTTTCTTGTATACTCCCGTCTTCAAAAGGGGTATCGTTGTTATTCCCCAGTCCTTAGAAAACATTTTGTGTCCGTTGACGTCACTTTCCTTGAGTCCTCATTTTATTACCCATCTCCCCTCCATGATACCCCCTCCTGTGTCGACTTTCTCCCATATCTCAGACCCATCTCCACCCCCCATATCGATGCTCCTATCGACCCATGTCCACCAACAACACGTTCTTTACAAGTGTATCAACGACGCCCTCGCCCTCCACCCAATGAGTCCTCTGAGGTCACGCCTGTTGATTCCCCTACTCTGGATCCCACACCACCACAGACAGCTACCCAAGTGCCAGTGAACAATCCTGATGATTTGCCCATCGCCCTCCGCAAAGGTACACGCTCAACTTTGAATCCTCATCCCATTTATAATTTTTTAAGTTATCATCGTCTCTCCACCCCTTACTTTGCCTTCACTTCACATTTATCCGATGTATGTATTACTAAAACCACACATGAGGCATTATCACACCCAGAGTGGCGTCGAGCTATGTTAGCTGAAATGGAGGCCTTACATTCTAGTGGGACATGGGACTTAGTCCCCCTTCCTATTGGGAAACCAGTTGTTGGGTGCCGCTGGATATACACAATCAAAGTAGGACCAGATGGAAATATTGATCGTCTTAAAGCACGTCTGGTTGCAAAGGGGTATACACAAATCTATGGATTAGACTACACCGACACATTTTCTCCTGTTGCAAAAATTGCATCTGTTCGTCTGATTTTATCCATGGCTGCAATGAGCCACTGGCCATTATTTCAATTGGATATAAAAAATGCATTTCTCCATGGTGATTTACATGAGGAGATTTATATGAAGCAACCACCTGGTTTTGTTGCTCGGGGGAGTCTGGTTTGGTTTGCAGATTACGTCGTTCTTTATATGGCTTGAAACGATCCCCACGTGCATGGTTTGGGAGATTTAGTGTTGTTGTTCGTGGTTTTGGCATGACTCGGAGTGATGTAGATCATTCCATATTCTATTGACATTCTGCAGGCAATAAATGTATATTTCTTGTTGTATATGTTGATGACATTGTCATTACAGGTAATGATGACCAAGGAATTGCCCAACTCAAGGAATATCTTTTTAGCAAATTTCAAACAAAAGACTTGGGAAAACTAAAGTAGTTTCTTGGTATTGAGGTTGCCCAATCAAGAAATGGAATTGTGCTCTCACAGAGGAAATATGCATTGGATATTCTTGAGGAAGCAGGGATGTTGGGGATTGTAGGCCAGTGGATACACCAATGGATCCAAACGTCAAACTCGTGCTGGAACAAGGTGACCTCCTGCCCAATAAAGAGAGATATAGAAGGCTTATTGGAAAGTTGAACTATCTTACCATCACAAGACCAGATATTTCTTGATAAGCCATGTGATGGACATTGGGACGCAGCTATCCGAGTCTTGATATACATCAAGAAAACTCCAGGACAAGGATTACTCTTTGAAGATCGAGGGCACCATGACATTGTTGGATATTGTGATGCAGATTGGGCTGGATGTCCAATGGATAGACGTTCTACTTCTAGATATTGCATCTTATTTGGTGGAAATTTGATTTCTTGGAAAAGTAAGAAACATGATGTGGTTGCCAAGTCTAGTGCAGAAGCAGAGTACCGTGCAATGGCCCTTGCTTCATGTGAGATATTATGGTTGAAGCATCTCCTCCAAGAATTAAAATACGGAAGCATGAAACCCGCCAATCTAATGTGTGATAATCAAGTTGCAATGCACATTGCTTCCAATCTAGTGTATCATGAGAGGACTAAACACATTGAAGTTGATTGTCACTTTATTCGAGAAAAAAATCACAAATGGACATATTACTACTCATTATGTCAAAACAACAGATCAACTTGCAGATGTTTTAACCAAGTCTCTTAGAGGACGTAGGATGCAATATATTTGTAACAAACTTGGTGCATATAATTTATATGCTCCAGTTTGAGGGGGAGTGTTGAAACCCTAGTTGTATTGGGCTTAGCCCGTCTTGTATAGTAACCTTAGTGCTCTAGTTTTAGCTATAAATATAGCTACTTGTATAGTTCTTTATATCAAGATTTATTACAATGAAATACAGTTTATATAGTTTACAGTTCTCAGTATGACCAACTAATTTTCCTGAACCTTCTCGTCCACGCTTTCGTTGATATACTTTTCCATAGAATGGATCCATAACAGAATGTGGCTATGATAGTACTGAATCATTTATATATATATATATCTTACTTGGTCACTCTGACGTTTCTGAGTTTCAATTTGGTCTTAGAGTGTAGAGATGTTATTGAAGCCTTTAAATTTGCACCCTGTTCAGTCAAAGACCATATTGGACAAATTTGCTGCTGTTGAAATACTTCAGGTAACAACTATGTTACCCTTTCCCACTTACTTTCACCCTTTCCCATTTATTTTACCCATCAATGAGAAGAAAATGACTCAAAAATGATAGTAGTAGAAAGCAGTTTATGAATCTAAGAGCCTATTTGGAAGGCCTGAATTGGATGAAGTTGTGGTGAAACGGATTGAATTGACTCAGCTTAAAGATATAAATTTAGACAAGTTAAAGAGAATAACATTAAAACTAAATATTAAATGTATGGATTTCAAATTTCAATAATTTTAGCCAAAAAGTAACTCATTAGTCTTTTCTCATTTTTTTACATTTCAGCCGGTTCCGGTTGTGCAGTGGAATATGTTAGTCTTTAGTAAAAACTAGTTGATAAGGCTGATACTCCAATTATGAAACCTACCAAATCGCTTGAAAGTTGGGTTTTAATATGTTGATTAGTTTTGTTTGAAGCATTGACCACCGAGTGCAATAATATCCAACATTCTAAGTTCTAACCACCCGTTTGGTGGGTGAAAAATATTGATGAATGAATTAAAATTCCACATGAATGGAATATTGAAATACAAGATAAGTTGAATAAAAAAAAGCTTGATATTGTATTATCTGGAGGAAGGGGAACAATCTTGCTTGAGACTAAATATTTCATTGGTTGTTTGTTATAGAATAATTAGAGCATTGCTAGTGTGAAAGATCAAAATATTTCTACTTATCCAATAATATGATGGATGGAAGTGTGCTTCAGGATTTCTATGTGATCGAGGTATGCCGACTAGATTGAAAGGTAAATTTTATCGAACAACAATTAAGCCTGCATTAATGTATGGCGTAGAGTGTTGGGCGGTGAAGCAATGCCACATTCAAAAGATAAGATGAGCGTGACAGAGATGCGTATGTTGCGTTGGATGTGTGGACATACCAGAAAAGGCCGCTTGTGGAATGAGATAATCAGACAAAAGGTGGGAGTAGCACCTATAGAAGACAAGATGCAGGAGTCTCGTTTGCGGTGGTTTGGGCATGTGCGTAGAAGACCGAGTGATGCACCTATTAGACGACTTGAGGGGTGGGGAAAAGATGCAGAGAAGAGAGGGAGAGGAAAATCCAAACAGATTTGGATTAGAGGAATCAGAACTGATATGCGTCTTCTTGGGTTGGATGAGAGTATGGCGTCGGAGAGAGCAAAGTGGAAGGCGCACATCCGTGTGGACGATAGATGTCTTTTCTACCTTTCCTCCCTTTCTTCTCAAATAAGTCCATCTACTTTTACTAAAAAGTCAATTGAGTCAATTAAGTCCGCCAAGTATAAAAAAAATAACCAAATCGCCCATTTAACCGGTAATGGACCGGTTTTCCGATTAATAGCCAAGATCATGCAAGTGACATTTTTTACGGTTTTCTTATTTTTTATATTTCTTTTTCCTCTCTTTTTTTTCTTTTTCTTCCCTTGTTCTCTTTCTTGTTTCTCCCGGTCTTTCTCCGTTTCCATTCCTCCGTCTCCACTCTCCACTTCCTGCATTCCTGTTTCAGCCCCCACCGCCACTTGCGGTCCCTTCCATTTCCTCCATTTCTGCTGCCTCTCCTCCAAACCGGCCACCACCGCAATCTCCCTCTCTGCGAGCGCCTTCGTAGCCACCTTCTCCGTGAGTGATCTCCATCTTCGCCGCTTCTAACTCTGTACCCGCCGCCTCCAACAACCACCTCCGCTTCCACCTCCGTCTCGTCCACTACAGCGACCTCCAATTGCCCCGACCTCCGTAAATGCCGCACCCGGCTGTCCCGACAACCACCTCCACAGCTTCCACCTTCGTCTCCTCCATTGGAGCGACCTGCAACCGCCCCGACCTCCACGACCACCACCTCCGCATCCTCTCCTCCTGCGCCCTTACCTCCATAGCTTCTCCCTCCGCCACCCCTATCCCCATAGCCGCCACCGCTCCAGCCCCCATAGACCGGTGGACCCGGCAGGGAGAGGATTGAAGGACTAAGAAAAGCCAAACTCCTGGACTGCTAGAGTTGCAGTACACGCAGGGAACCAAGGAAAGAGAAAAAGTAGGGGAAAGAGAAAAATGAATTAAAAGAAATGGTATAAAAGTAAAATAGTGAGAAAAAGGTCAGGTGGACGATCTAACCGGAAAACCGATTGATTACCGGTTGAAATGACGATTTGGTTAAAATTTGACACTTCGAGGACTTAATTGATTCAATAGAAAGTATGTGGACTCGAGTGACTTTTTGGTAAAAGTAGATGGACTTATTTGACCGTTTTCCCTTTTTCTTTTATTGTTTATCTTCTTTATCTTTTTATATTCTTATATTATTTTTATCTTCTAGCTTTTGTATGCTCTTTTATTTTTTCTTTTATCTTTCTTATATTTTTGTGTTATTGTTATCTTATATTTATTTATCTTTATTTTATTCGTTTTATCTTACTTTTTTTCTTCCCTTTCTTGTCCTTCTTCTCTGTTTGGCATCGATCGATATCATAGATCGATTCATGTTAGCCGAGCCTAAAGTCTTTTGGGATTAAGGCTTGGATGTTGTTTTATCCAATAATATGGAGTAAATAATTTGAAAAAATGGGCATAATACAAAGAAACCATATTTTCTCCCAAAGTTGAAGGTGAGGAAAACGTGGAGGGTCTTGGAGTTGGATTGGTTCAAAAACCCATAAATGAATAACTAATGCCTGTTAGGAAAACTGCCAACAAAAAACAAACAAACCAAGTTTCCAAAGTTTGGCTAATCTTAAAGAGAAAAAGCAAATCACGACTACCCCAACCGGGTGATTTAATGATGCATGCTACAATATAATATTATGGAAAGATAGAGAGCAATTAAGTAGATAAATGAGGAGTAATGGCTGATTGTGATTTGCTTGGTGACTTTATTATGATTTGATTTTAATACCTTCGTTATTTAATCTATTTTATGAAGTGATTTTCTAGGATTTCTCTTTCCTTGTTTTCTACATTCATATGCATGTAATCCCTCTTATAAAAGAGAGCTTTTCTTTTTTTTTTGAAAGAAACAAATAAATTTACATTTCAGACCTTGTGCATTTCTCTTCAAGACATGTAAAGAGAATAGATGCCACTCGGTAAAGAGTATGGTATACGTAAACTATATATGGGGTGATAATGAAATGACAATCTATAAAAGCCCAGCCAAATAAGCATTTTATATAAAAAAAATGAGGACTGCTCATCAGTCATCAACCAACAGCCCTATATTCTTGCTTGGCATCTCCAGGCATGATAATCCTATATTCATCATAATGGTTCTGGTTTACTAAACCATTAGTATCCTTCACTTGAAGGGCAGTTGTATCAATCACAGCCACTGCCTCTAGTAGCATGTCATCTTCGCGATTAGGATCCGAATTCAGGTCCAATTGTCCCTTGCTGGTTCCACCATCCTCCATATCCCCATTTGGATTGCTATCGTTTTCCGAATGATTTATCACATGAACCAAAACCCCCGCAGGCCCACAACTTGTACCCTCTGTCTCCGATCCATCTTTAGCGATGTGTTCGGCTTCACGGTCTGTTTGTTTTTTCTTCTTATGCATCATGAGGGTTTTGAACCTACGCGTAACGGTCAAGCAGACATTACATTTACACGTGGGAAGATGTTTACACTTCCCGCTTGGAGGTTGGATGAAGACTATGCAAGAACTGCCGGGTCGGTGTCGAGGATGTTTTGTTGTGGGTCCCACACCAAGATAGAGGCGGTTCACCAAAGTCGCCAATCTTGTCTCCTAATACTGCGACGGTGGCCAAAGCATCCAACCCTGAAGGTTCAGGGTCGTGACTGTTCTCAGTGATTCTCAGAGAGCTTTGCTATGCTAATAAAATGAGTTTTTTTTTAAAAATTAATGTTTAAACAAAAATGTATTTACGAAATTAGAGTTGGGTTAAAAATATATACCAAAATATTGCTCAATTTAACTAGGGTTAATGAAAAACGCCATGTCATTTGGCGACTTTCTCTTCTCCAACAAAGGTAGCCTACCTAATGCGTTGGAGAAAGAGATGGAGAAGCAAGTGGTGGCCGGTGGGTCCCAAGGTAAAAAATCTCTTTTTCTTTAAATCGTTGTAAATTTTTTATGTTTGCTCAATATCTAATAAAAAATACTCCCTCCGGTTCCAAAAGATCTTGACACTTTTACTTCTCTAGAATTAAGGTTGGGAAAACTTTTGAGTTTTGAATTTCCATTTATACCCTTTGTTATAAAAGTAATTGTAAAGGTAAAAAGGTAGAGGGTAAAAGCAGTAAATAAAAGGTTGGCTTTGACATTACATATTGCTGACAACATACAATAGGAAAGAGGGTAATTCGTGCCCCCTCTATTCCCAACTGTCCACTTTCGTACACTTTTTTAAGGAGAGAGGCCTTGATTTTTTTCAGCTTCCCTCCAAAAACTAAAAATAGAAAGCTTTCCCCCCAAAATTACATCTACCCTATATAAACCCTTCATTCATCCGGATTTTGTCTCTGAGCTTTCTGAAATGCCTCCCCATTCTCCCTCTGTTGCAACCTCTTTAGCTGGCATGCCTTCCTTTGAGCATAACACCGAACCTGAGGAAGTGCAGATGGAGCTGTTAGTTCCCCATGTACCCGCAGATCAAGAGCAGCCAGGTAGTCACACGGATAACACACAAAGGCAGCCAAAAAATTTGTCAAGCCTTACATGTGAAAAGGGAAGAAGAATAATAGACCTATTGTTATTAAAGTCTGCAGATGGAAAACTTCAGAGGGGCATGATCACAAATGTAGCAAATGAGTTCAACATTTCAAGACAAATTGTAAGCACACTGTGGGCCAAAGCAAAGGCACAAATGCAGGCTGGGCTACCCATAAATGTGCAGAGTCAATATAAAGGTATTGTAGGAAGAAAAAAATTGCATTTGATTTGTCAAAAATGTCTAAGATTCCATAGCATAAAAGGAAAAATATGAGGTCTTTAGCATTTTCAATGCAAGTGTCAAAGTCCACTGTGCAGAGATGGTTCAAGAGCAAACAAATTAAAAGACATTCTAATGCCATTAAACCTCTTCTCACAGATAAGGGCATGCTGAAAAGGTTACAATTCTGTCTAAGCCATATTATTCCTAGCTCACTTCCCCTTTCCCCAACTTTTCATGATTTTTATGATCATGTACACATAGATGAGAAGTGGTTCTACTTATCAAAAGAAACCACAACATTTTATACATTCCCAACAGAAGAGGACCCCTACAGAACAGCTCAATCAAAAAAATTCATACCAAAAGTGATGTTTATAGCTACAGTAGCAAGGCCTAGAATAGGAAACCGGGGGGATGTATTATGGGATGGTAAGATAGGGATCTTTCCTTTTATCTATGAAGACAAAGCAAAGAGAACAAGCAAGAATAGGCCAGCTAAGACCTTAGAGACAAAGCCAACATTGAGTGTCAATAGGCCAATTACAAAAGAGATGATGTTAACAAAAATTCTGCTAGCAATTAAAGAGAAGTGGCCAGATGCAGAAAACAAACATGTCATTATAAAACAAGACAATGTTAGGCCTCATTTAGACAGAAATGATCCAGATTTTGTTACAAGTGGGACAGAAGATGGCTGGAACATTGAGTGGCGTTGCCAACCACCTAATAGCCCAGATTTGAATGTGTTGGATTTAGTTTTTTTAGGGCTATTGATTCTCAGAAAGATTAGAAAGCACCTAAGACTATCAATGCACTGATAGAATCAGTACAAAGTGCATTAAATGATCTCACAGCTCATACCTTAAACAAGGTATTCTTAAGCTTTTAATATGTAATGGAGGAAATTCTAAAGCACAATGGAGGTAACAACTTCAAACTAAAACATGTTGGGAAGGACAGATTGGAAAGGCAAGGTAATTTACCCAAGAATGTCCAGGAAGTGTATAACACAGCTAAAACACGCATGGAGTGGCAGATGGCAACAAACATAGCAGTTACAAGCAGTGACGTGACAGGGGTAGAGTTCATATATGAAGATTATCAAGATCTTCATCTCTGAACTGTCTATCTACAAAGAACAATACAACTTTTTTCTAGTATTTGTATGTACACAGGGATTAATATGCAACTAGGTGTACAATTTTTTGTATGTACTTCAAACTGTTGAAAGTACCTTTTTGATGTACTTCCTAGATCAGTGTTGTACACTAATTATTGTAAGCAAGTCAATGCCAATCATAAGTGGGCTGCACAAGTATGTAATCACATTTGAGGCACACACTGACGCAATGCACACAAGCAGTTTAGTCATACAGAATATCACAGAAGCAATAGGCAGCACACTGTTTCAGACTCAATCAAACAACATACATTGAGTCATCATTTTTCACAAAAACATTTTGATAATCAGTACCCCCAATTCATCTTTAGTTTTCACACCATACACACCTTAGGCAACAAACATGCAAGTACTCATCACTTATTTAAAAAAAACAAGGATAGTGGAGAGACAGAGAGTACTGCCCGTAGAAATAACCCTTTATATAAGGAGGAGTGTCTGCAAATAATTCGTCAGCTGAATCACCAACCCCATATGCCTCCTTACCATCAAAATATCTCAAGGTAACCTCTTCCCCTTCTTCCAAGCCATCCAGCCCTTCGAGCGTGTCACTCACTAGGTTGTCGCCGTACTTTTTCCTCATCCGCCATCCCGGATCTCTTTCAGTGGAACAATCACCGAATCGAACGATGATTGGGTTCACCCAAGCCTTCAAAACACATTGCATGTGGAAGATTAGGCATATTTTTACGAGTAGGAGTAAATTTAAGCTAATTCATGGAATGAAGAGGAGACTTGCCTTATTTTGCAGATCCAAAATTCGAAGGGACTTCACACTTTTCGGATCTGAATGAAGTGGTTCAGATCGGGGGAGGTCGGAGTACTCAATCGGTGACTTGACCTCCACTTCATCTCCCAGTTCAACACCGCCGGTGTGCGTAGAGGTGGTTGTATCAACCATTAAACCGGAGACAAACACAGAAGGGGGCAACTATGTAAGGAGAAGGGGTGCGAAGAAGAGGACGAAGATGAGTGAGATATGGGGTGGGAGGATATGCGAAGAAGAAGGAAGGTCAGAGCACAGATAGAATATGCAAGTGGGGCGGTTGGGGTTTAATGCGGTAGATTATTGGGGATAGTAATAGGTTGTGTGGGTAGTATTATTGGGGAGGGATATTTATGGCATTTCAATCAAAAATATGGTAGATTAAGTGTAAAGATAATTTTGGGACTGCCAAAAAAGGAAAGTGTAAAGATCTTTCAGAATCGGAAGGAGTATATCAAATTTCATAATTTTTATGATCTTTCATACTCCCTCCTTCCCAATTTACTTAGCCATCTTTGACTTTTCCAGTCAAAGATGGTAAACTTTGACCAATTATTTAAACTAATATATTTATGCAAAATTTAATAATTTTATACTTTTATGATAGTATTTTTAACAAAGAACATTTTCATGTCATTTTCATATTATCAATACTTTCTCTATATAAACATATAATCGGTCAAAGTTAGACGTCATTGACTTGAAAAGTCAAGTTTGGCTAAATAAAATGGGACGGAGTATAACATCAGTATTGTATATAGAAAATCTCAAAAATTTGAATTCTATATGAGGTGAAAAGGCTAATTGCAACCCTGCACTGTCAAAGACTCAAAGCGTCAATAGACAATAAACCTAATTTCGACCAGTTTATATCAAAATTGTGTATTCACCCGTCAATCCAGTTTTTCCTGCAATCTAGCACCATTGCAATCTAGCACCATAAATATATTTACTGAACATATGTTTTTAATTAAATCCTTACATATATCATTATACATCGATTTTTTGTCAATATTTTTTACAAAATCTGATGAGCCGGTTGCCTTCGTTGCAGTAGGGAAAGTCGCCAATGGACATGGCTTCTTTCAGTGACCCTAGTTAAATTAGCAGTACTTTGGTATATATTTTTAATCCAACTCTAATTTTGTAAATACTTTTTTATTTAACATTATTTTTGAAAAGAAATACTCTAATAAAATATTGAAGATAATCAAGGAGAAGGAAAACTCCCCAAATTTCCATATCCCCTCCCTATCCATCGATCATTTTTATTTCATTCCTGTGACGCAAAGAATCCCTGTACATACCATTTTGATTCCGTTGCCAGCGTCATGGGAAATTTCACACTTCCTGCTGATCAGTATACACTCCTCTTTCCCTCAAAAAAAGAAGTATACACTCCTCTTAAAGATACAGAAAGAGTTACATAAACTCACAAGCGAAGGGCATCTTCACAAGCTGCAAAACACAGTGCAAAAGGTTCAACAATCACTGCCACCATTAAAGGAGTCGCTTTAGATTGACAACCTTTCCCAATCAGTGGACTCCTTGGGAGGAGATGAAGCACCCCCATCAGTACACATTTCATCTTCAGAATTTTTGTCTCAACCGCCGACAACATTGCTTCCAACACAGCATCTTCTAGAGCCAAAGCTGTCTGCAACACCATATTGCAGACTGCCCTACCCGATAAACTTCCTAAAACAAACTTCTTGGACTCCCAGGATCCATTTTTGTCCACTAAACCTGTCCCAGTTTGGTATTGTATTCCAATGGATTTTTTTAATGGACGATGATCACCTTAGCCATAGTCCACCACTCAGTGATTTTCAATCTTCTTCAAAAATACAAGGATCACGGGCACTTTTAATTGGTGCAGTCATTCAAAAACCAGTTCAAGTTTTCAAGCTTGAGGGCAAGCTTGATTTTCTAGAAGGGTTGTAATGATGCATGCTACAATATAATACTACATATCATGGAATATTTAAACAAAGCAATCAAGTAGAATAAAGAGAGCAAACTTGATTAATTTGCTTGATTGACTTTAATACCTTCATTATTTAATCTATTTTAGGAAGTGATTTTCTAGGATTCCTCTTTCCTTGATTCATATGCATGTAATCCCTTTTATAAAAGAGAGCTTTGCTATGCTAATAAAACATCGAAGAAAAAATTAAGAAGAAAATCAAGGTGAAAGAAAACTCCCCAAATTTCCATAGTCCCTATCCATTTATATTTTGTTCCCGTGACGCAAAATTCCTTGTACTTAACTTTTAAAGGTTTGTTTTAGGAAAAGTTCTCGAAATAGGAGTAAAAACGTTTGAGAATTCCAATATAGGATTGTCATATTTTTAATTCCTAAATAGGAGTCATTACTGCCAAGCTTGGAATATATAACCATGTTTAAAGTCTGGTATTTCTAAAACATGACAATAATTACTCCTATTTAGGGAATAAAAACATGACAGTCCTATTTTGGAATATACAAACATTTTTACTATGTTGTCATGTGCATGGGTAAGGGTTCCCTTAGTTTCCCTTAGTTTTACCAGATGGTAGACGCTCTAGCACATTTTAGTGCCCGGGTGGTTTTAGAAATTGTATGTTTCTAATTTGGGTTTAAAAATTTCTTTGTTTGGATCAGGGGTACTTGGATTTTGTAAACAGAAGTGATCGGCTACAGTTACAAAGTGGGAATGCTAATTCTTCAATAAGAATTGACGGGGGAGAATGAGTTCATGTTATTGAACCTTCAATGCCTAAGTTCATGTTTGGTTGTTGAGAAAATAAATTTCTCCTTTCCCCTCTTCCATAGACTTCCCACTTACCAATGGCTACAAAATGCAATGTTTAGTTAGGGGATTTTATTCCATGTAATTGCAATGCCTTGATTTAAGGATTGCAATATCCGAGCTCTCCCTATGTTTCAGATTACATGAAATTGGAGAAAAAAAGTGAACACATGTATGCATACTGACTATTCATCAAGCTCCATTCCATTATTAATTAACAACAAAAATGTTTGTCAGTGGAATTCAAATTCTTGTTTGTGATAAATCATGATGTTTGATGTAGGGACTAAAAATAAGACTCTTTTTACTCTAAAAACATGAAGTTAGCAGGACAAAGGTGTGACATATCCACTGTCCACATCTATTTTTTTTGCTTCGTTTCTTATTCATTTTTTCTTTTGTATTTCTTTTTTTGCTTAGACTCTCTTTGTGCCTTGAAGGGGAGCCTTGGTGCATCTGTTAGAGTGTTGTGTAATGGAGTTTTGGAAGTGGCATCTTGTCAAAATGACAAGGGAAAGATGGCTCCTTATACACCCTTGTAGAGTTGTAGTGGGTAAAGAAAAAGAGTAGACATGTGTACATACTCTTTTGAGTAGATAGGCTTGAGTAGGCGTGGGACTGGTCCAGAACTGGGTCTAGGGGTTTGGCCTGGTCTGGAATTGGGTCCGACATTGTTTGGGTTCGGACCGGGTCCGGAAAGTCCTATTAGGGCCAAGGACTCAGACCGGGGTCGACTGGGCTTTTTTTGTGTTGTCGAGACCTGGAACCGGCCCAGGTAGCTACCGGGTTCGGGTCGGGCCCAGGTCGGGTACATTATTATTATTTTTTCTAATTACTTCCTCCCCCCCCCCCCCCCCCCCCCCGCCAAACCCCTCCAAAACACCCCGCCCAACCCATTTACCTCCCAAAGAATTTCAAAAACAAAAAAATTGTCACGGACCCTGCATTGCCCTGCCGGACCGGGTGGCCCGGATCAGTCTTGGACCCGGGTATCAGGTCGGGTCGGTTACGGGCCGATTGACCCGGCCCGGGTCCATCCTTGGCCCATAGTCTGCCCAAGCATGTTGCCTGGTCCTGATTCACCCATTCGGGGACTAAACCGGGTAGCTTTGATCCCAAATTTGGTTTTAGAATTCAGATCGGTTAATTTTTTGGCTTGGAAATGGAGGAAGAAAAAAGGGGACTGCCTATACCGGATTTAATAGGGTCTAACCCGGGCTTCTCCTACCAATCATTCGGACCAGCCGGTCTGTGATTGGAATTGAGTTTCATTACCTTAAAAACTATGTTTTCCCAAAATATTTGCCAAATCTTTGGCAGATTCATGTAATATGTTATGGCGGAAAACTTGTAGTTTGATATTGATTTTTCTAATTTTCGGAACTTGACTTCGTGTTTTTTATTCTTGATGTCGTTAAATTTGTGATTTCAATGAAAAAACTTGGGCTTTCCAATTTTGAATATTGGCATTATATTTTGCCAAGTTTTTGGCAGTTTCATGTAGTACTGGAAATTATATTGTGGCTAAAAAACTTTTATTTTTAAAATTAATTTAAATGTATTACCAATCTTATGGCAGAAAATACATTCTTATTTCCTTTGCCAAAAATTAAGGATGGACCGGGACCGGTTGGTCTGACCTGGTTGATCGAGACTGAGCCTTGACCCTGAACCAGGGGGTTTTGGGGCAGTTCACGGGCTCAGGCACTCTTGGAATCAGCTCGGCCCATTCGGGACCGGTCTAGGCCCAAAATGTTTTGTTTTTCAAATGGATTGGATGGTAGGCAGGTTGGGCTGGGTGGTTTGGGGGTGTTTGGGGGGGGAGGAATAAAAAAGAAAAACAAAATTAACAAAACCCGAGCTCGACCCGACCTGGCCCTGGGCCGGTACCAGGCCTCTAACTCCCAAACCTAGTACCGCCCAAGGCCTGACCCGGGCCCGGTCCATCTCTAGCCAAACTACCAAGTTTAAAGAAAAAAGTTGTCATTAAAATGTTACGGAGTAGTTCTTATTATTTGAATAAAATATATTTTTTTTGTGCAGCGTGTTAAAGACGGGCATCAATCGTCTGATGGTGCCCAAAGCGGTGGCGGCAATTGCGGAAGGGATCGCATCGGCGCAGGGATCATGGTGGGGGCGGTAGGGAGCGGTGGTTGCGGTTTGAGCGGCGGTGAGTTGTGTTGAGTGTGCTGGAAGCGGCAAAAGAAACTAGGGTTTCATATTTTTATTTTATTTCTATTTTTAATTCTAAATAGATTTAGAAATTCATTAAGGATAATTTTGTCAACTGAGTGTATTTTTAGTCCTATGGAACATGAAAGTCCTGTTTCTGCATTTCTTCATTGTTTTAGTAATATTTCGCGAATTAACTCCTAGAAAAAACAGCACGTGTGTAATGTATCTGAGCAGCTTTCTTAACAAGGTTCATATCCATTTCTCATGCATATGAACACATTTCTTAGCTAGATTCATTGTCCTCTTCACAAGTTAGACCATGTATTTTATTCATTTAGCCACTATTTGATATTGGGCTCTAAAATAGAGAAAATAATAGGGGGAATTTGACTTTGCACCCCACTTTTTGGATGGTATTGGACTTTACACCCTATTTTCAAAAAACTTTGACTTAGCACCCCATTTCACTTAAAAATCCTTTGATTTTGCACCCCGCTCACAAATTTTCTTCACAAAATGTTATGTGATGGGGTGCAAAATCAAAGTTTTTTTTGAAAATGGGGTGCAAAGTCCAATATCACCCAAAAAGTGAGGTGCAAAGTCAAATTCTCCCAATTTAAGACCGATCCATTCTTTTAAAGGCTTAATTTATAATTAAATTAATTGGATATCTTAAAGTCCTTTTATCCTTAATATTACAAAAATGAGGATAAAAGGCAAAAAAGTGACCTCTTTTGTATGATCCAAAAATGTGACCAACTTCACAATTATACCTTGCAAATTGCAATCACAAAATGACACCGGCCATAGTGATTGCCCGTCCACCGTCAGTGACCGGTCCCACAGTGACTGCCTCCACCTCCGGTGACCGGTCAAAGTGATTTTGGCCATAGTGATTGTCCATCCACGGCCTGACCGGTCCCCACAGTGACTATCCACACACCGCCAGTCACCGACCCCCACAATGACTATCCGCCCACAGTCAGTGACCGGCCCCCAACGAGTGCCGCCGCCGACCATCACCACACCCCTGAATCGACTCCCCAGACACTCCCCAGCCTTCAGGCCCACAACCCCTCCCCAGTCGCAATCCACAGGCCACAACCCCCGATAACCTCCCCCCAGCTCGTACACAATCACACTGCGCCACACCCCGCCCCTAGCTGCCGCACCCACCACTTCTTAGACACCCCCCTGAGCCCGTCGCGGCCAACTCACTGCCACCACATCATGTGACCCTAGTCGCTGCCTTCAATGGCGTGTCACCGTGTCACGCCCCGGACCTAGCCGGACACGTCAACAACCCGCCGTACAGTACGAATAGTCAACTGCAGTCCAACTCATCCATACTATACAAGGTGTCTTGAATACCATTCACACATAGTACATCCATAAACAAACATAATGTAAAACATTTATTTAAAACAGCGGAAACATTTGATATAAGAGTTTATGCCACACTTTGGCAAGCATGGGCATACAAGCCCCCAAATAATTATTCAAAAAAATATATCCATGAGCATTGTTATAATTGTTTTGAAACAGAAATGGAGGAAGCACGAACCACGTCTCCTCTCCTAGTGTCTCCCCGAAGCCACAGACAATGGTAGCAAGCTCAGCTCCCACCTGAAACTGTGAGGTGGCCTCCCCCGTGAAGGGGAGGTCAGTACTTGGAAGCATTTGACAAGTACAATGACAGCTATACTAAGTATAATCAATGTTTCAATTTCAAAGACCCTCAATCTAGGGTTATATTATAGGCCATAACCCTCGGTTATCCCTTTTTTTTTCAAAATAAACTTACCTTATATAAGGTCAAGTAATCGGCCCGTGGGCACATATTCATTTAGAATTCACCATTTAATTCCCCGTGGCTACTAGTCACGCCAACCCCATAGGGTCCCCTCGAGTCCCGATTGTATAGCAAGGGCTCGGCCCAACTACATTTCTATACAACCCTTCAACTCAATTTAACACATTTAAATTGTATGGCAAGGGCTCGGCCCAACTACGTTTCAATGCTAATCACATTACATGGCAAGAGCTCGGCCCAACTACATTTCCATGCAATCCTAGAGTTCGACTCTAATTCATTTTCGTAGTCCAATTCTCAAGCAAATCCTATGCCTAGAATCAACCCACTTGGGTAGCCTTTAGGCTTACCCCTAACACACCTTAGTGTTCATTCAATTCAACCTTAGAGTATCTCTTAAGACTACTTAAGGCAATTCTATTCACAATCCTATCCCCTAGGATTTATTCCATTATATTATTCTCCCAACTAGTATTTTAATACTAGTAGGTTTGTCTTAGAACATATCAAGTTCTTAATTCAAATTGACATTTCCTTTCAATTGATTTTCCAATCCAAATATAATTTGATCCCAATATCAAAATATCACTTTTATCCATTCATGAATTTCATACATGATGTAAAAGTATAATTTATCACAATATTCACATAGTTAATTCCATTATCATACCATTCCTTTCATGTCACATAATCATACACAATTTATTCTAAATTTGTATATTATGCTTCATTTACTCACACCAATAGTATTTTCATTAAGCATTATTACTCATTAATAATCCATGAAAATCACCTGTAATACCTTAGGTAATCTTATGAAATTAACTCACTAGTTATAAGCAATATAGTCAGCCATCCTCACCTTATGAAGTGCTGAAATAGTTGCCTTGGTTAAGCTCCTCGATCAATCCCCGTTCTAGGCCGATTGAAAGTGGAAAACTGGACTGCTGGGCAAAAGCCGGGCGGCTTTCACGAAAGCCGGGCGGATTTCACGAAAGCCGGGCGGATTTCACGAAAGCCGGGCGGCTTTCGTAGTCTGCAACTACGAACAGCTCCTTTGGAGTGGCGGTTTCCGGCGATTTCGACTCCTATCGATTTGCCAACCCTCCTAAGTTAATTACCACTTCTTTATATCAATTTCTACAATTTTAAACGTGTAGAACATCATGTTTTAATCCACCATATGATTTCTTAAAAATCATACAACATAAACTAGTTAAAGATGGTTTGTTGAGTTCTTACCTCAAAAACAACCCCTTTTTCCTTGGATTTCCCTTGTTGTTGCTTCCTCCACACTATGGATTAGCTGAGAGAGTTTCCTGGAGCCTTTCTCCTCTTTGGGTCGTTCAGATGGTGCAAGGGGAAAGTGGAAGGCAACTCTACTCAATCAAGCATCAAAATAATGCATGAGTAGGGCCTTAGGAGGTGTGATGGTGTCTTTGGCCATCCCTCATTAACTCAGTCCGCACACACCCTCAATTCATGTCCCTTCCAGCATTCCTTTAGTCAACTAGGGCACATGAAGACGTGGGGTGGCCCCCACTTATGTGGGAGGTCATCCCATTATGTTCCGGTGTGTACAATCGGCCCCGAAAGTTGTATTTCTCGGCCCGTTTTAATTATATTTTATTTTATCGGGCCAAATAAAATGTATCACGCGTTCCTAATAATTATGGGCCTTTAGAATAGATGTACATTCTCCAACATAAATTTAGGAGTCTCCGAAACTCACTTCGGGCTGTTATCCGCTAAATTACCAATACCGGTAACGGAAGATCGCACGGAAGACTCTGATGATGCAAGACGCAGATCGCACTTCGCAGATCGCCGTCTCTTGTGAGTGCAAGAGCCTCGCTTCACTGGTATTGCTCTCTACGCCGATTGCAAGACACTTTAAGAGTATGTGAAAGACCAAGAGGTAGTTTCTGATTGTTTGAAGTGTTAGCACGGAAGACTCTGATGATGCCACAAGCAGTTGTATATGCAGGAGCAATTAAGAAGTTTGCATGAGGAAATTGGTATTCTACCCTGAAATTGGTGGTTTTATTGAAGAAGAGAAAGACAAGTACTTAAGTTCTTAGCATAAAAGGTTAAGCCAACCTCAAATATTTAGTACCATGGATGAAATCATCTTATAACCAACCTTATCTCCATATATACAGGATTGAGTATTCTATATTTTTAGTGCATTAGTTAGTACTCCATCCATGAATAATATGCACCTTGGGTCAACCATTCTGCATTTTTCAGCTTGTGCAACCATTGCAATATTCTATTCACTTAGGCAACCATTGATGTATTCACTTTGTGCATTTTTTGCGGAAAAATTCACATTAATAATCCCAACTATCAGTAGTCTTCTTATATTAATTCCAATTATGGATAATTCAAAAATAATCTAAGGTATAAGGTATATTTTCTCATATTGAACCGATGACCTGCATAAACTCATTCAGCAGGTCACTAACCACGTGGCTTTTTTTAATTGGACTATCTATTTGTTCACTTTTCTTTTTATTTCTTTTTCTTTTCTTTACCCTTTTTCTCTGTCCCCACCCCACCCCGCTCGTTCTTCTTTCTCTCCCCCCTCCCTTCGAGACTGCTCTGTCTTTGACTCTTTGGTGAGTGCAGAGTGCTTCTTCTTCTTTTTATCTTTTCCAGTGAGTCTCTTCCAGCGAGTCTCTCCAGACCTCCTTCATCTCCCCCCCAGACAGCAAGACCCCCTCCCTTAGTGAGTCTGCTCCGTTCTTCGGTACCTTCACCTTCCTTTTCCCTTCCACTGGAGTCTCCTTTCTTTCTCCACTTAACTTTGTATTCTTCTTTTGGTAAACTCGAGCTTTGGTAAGCACTGTAATGTAGTCCTTGTATTCGAGCTCTGGTCATGAGGAAGAAATAATTTGATTTTTTTTTGTTTCTAGTCGACTAGTTGCCGGAACTTGCTAGGTGCTTCCCCGGGGAAGACCGATGAAGTAATGGTTTCACTGCTCCTGTGATGGTTGTGCTTTATTTTCATCCATCAATTGCATCTCGTGAAGAAGCTAAACAAAGGAAATTATGAAAATGACGGAAAACTCAAGACGCTACGGCTATGGCTGTTATGAATACGTATTAAAAAAAATAGAAAAGCAAAGCAAACGGGGGATGACCGCTGAAGGCGTTGATCAATGGCGTAATAGGCTAATAGCCTTCCGGACCATGCGTTTCTCCCTCTCTGTCTCTTCTTTTTATTTTTATTTTTTATGTTTTACCTGTTTAGTAGGTAACCGATCAACTGGGATCAAAATGAGAAGACCACATGTGAACTTCGGGTTATTATGGAATTATGCATTTTTGGGATTAATTTGAGAAGAATGCTAATAGTTGGGATTATTCGTGTGAATTTTTCCTTTTTTTGCTTAAAAAAAGAGATGCATAAAAGGATGTGAAGCAAAGCCAAATTATACAATACATATATGTAATACATTGAAATACCAGATTGAACTACATAATTGGTGTGATACTTTTATATATTATTTTTGTTGTTGTTTGTTGTATTAAATGTGTTGCTTTTTGTTGCATCGTGTTGTTTTTTGTTGCATCATGTTTCACTGTGTTGTATTTTGTTACCTATTTTTGTTGTATTGTTGCTCTTGTTTTTTGTTGTTTACGCAATTTTTTTAACTTTGCTACTTCTATGAAGTAAAAAATCATTTGTAGATTTATATTAAATCTAAAAAATGATAAATTTATATTTATGAAACAATAAAAAACAAAAATTGCAGACATATCAACAGAAGGAAACAAAAAGAAATAATATGCAACAAAAGGAAACAAAAAGAAACAATATGTAACAAAAGGAAACATAAAGAAACAATATGCCACAAAAGGAAATCAAAACAAACAATATGAAATAAAAAAACAATAAAATCATATATATATATATTGAATTTATAATTTTTTTTAAATTACTTTGTATATGTTTCGGTTCTTAAAATAATAATTGTTTCAAAAAAAGTTTCTAATTGCCTATGATAATTTTTAAATTTTCAAAACCATTTTTTAATAATTTTTGTAATTTTTTAAATTTTAAATATTTAGAGTTTAACTTTATTTTTTCATTTTATGAGATTTTTTTACCATTTTAGTTTTAAATATTTTTCTTTATGCATTTTCATTTTCTTAATTAATATTATAACATTTAAATTATTTATATTTTTATTGTTTTAGTTTTTTATATAAATTTAGGAGTATATGAAGTCTTCTAAAAAATAAAATTACAATAAATTGTTACTTTTCTACAATTTTTCCACTTTATAAATTATTTTTAACCTTTCTCATTTTCACTTTTGAGTTTTGTATTTCCAATTTTTCTATACGTTTCTTAACATTTGCTGATATATTTTTTAATTTTATACTAGTATCCGTTTTTTAAGTTTAACATAAAAGTTTTGTACTTCTATTTTTTATTATGCATTGTTTGATTTCTTAATTTGATTATCTTATTACTTTTTATTTTCTCAAATTTTAATATTTCTATTATTTTCTAATTATTTCCATTTTTTACATTTTACTAACTATTTTCAATTTTCTATTTAAAATCACGAATTGAGTAATAACTAATTTTGGACTTCGTAAAAATTTATCAAGTTGGGTGTATAGACTATAGACCTAGCCTACTAACTCCCTAAGAGGGAGAATAGATAATGATGAGTACAAAGGTTAAGTTTTTAACGTCAGCGTGTAAAATTCCCTAATTTTTTCATAACTTGGGTTAGTTACTTAGAGCCCGTTTGGTAACACTAAAATTAGCTGAATTGGCTGATTCTGCTGAAATTTATGAAGTTCTGGCTGAAGTGGCTGTATTGGCTGATTCTGCTAATTCATGAAAAAATTATATTTAAAATATTTGTTATTAATAAATTAAATAAAAAATTATATGAAAAAATAGCTAAAATGATTCTCTACGGTTACTTCAGCCAAAACAGCCGGAAAAGTAACTTCAACCTTACTTTTTCTGCTTATTACAAACTTCAACGCGCGAAATCAAAAATTACGTGTTTGGTTAAAAAACTGACTGATAAGCCTGATAAGCCGAAAAAGGGGTCACCAAACGGGCTCTTAGTTTTTAAGCCCAAATTCATAAATTTGACCTCAAAAACTGACCAGGTCGATCGACGGACCGACAAACAAAAAAAGGGGCTTGTCAAAAAGAAAGAACGATCCGACACAGCGGCAGAGTACAGATCTACAAATTTCGAAGGACGAGCGGCGGCAGAAAACGGGAGCAAGGATCTGCGTAGGTGACAAGAGACGGCGATCTGCGATCTCAGGCGAGTCGACCGTACATGGCGTGGCTACCCCATCGCCAGGACGTCTAGTCGCCGCCTAGTTGACGCCGCGACAACAATGGTTGGTTTACCAATAGTTGGCATACTTAACTTGTTTAGAACACTTATTTTGAGAGAGAAAGCATAAGCTCTGAAATTAGCTCTACCTAACAAACCTTAAGTTGGTTTGTATAATCTTGGTTGTTGTCATTTTCTGTTCTAGTGATTTTTCATTGCCTTGTAAATTTTCTCCAAGTTATGAATACATTTTGTGCAAAGCATGACACACTAGCATATAGTATCCTCACATATCAATGAGCCAGACCATATAACTAACCAGTTGTCCAGTTTCATCATTCCCTCTCTTGCTGGTATGGTCTTAATCCTGACACATCCCCCATTCAGTCTCATTCGGTCAATCATCTGACTCCGCAGCCAGTCCAGAGTCTTGGTCCAAGCGGTTCTGGTCTAGCAACTGGTCCAGTTTTGATTCCACTCAAGGTTTTATATGAAAAGTTGTCGGGCTGGTTCAGCCACCCCTAGGAATAGGGTCAATGGGACCTGATTAATTTTTATATAGATTCCAATAACTGTTTTTGCGTGCAGGTATACCACTCCAGTTTTGTTGAGGAAGAAGGAATTACTAAAGCTTGTGGGTGTCCTCTATTACCACTTAAAAGCCATATAAGGGGACCTGCTCCAGTTTCAGAACATGGTTCGAATAGCCAACTCATCATATTTACCTACAAACATTTGCTAATAATCTTAGTGGGTTTTCTCCTATGGTGATCTTGTTTGCGAAGAGAGAGATAGAGAGAGAGAGAGAGGCCACTGCTTATATTATGTTTTTTCGATGCAGATAGCACAGATATAATTGATGAAGCAATTACATTCTTTAGAGCGAATGTCTTCTTCAAAAACTTTGATATACAAAGTTCTGCAGATAAGCTCCTCATCTATTTGACATTATATATAAATGTGGCATTGAAGAGGCTTGAAGGCTGCAGGACATCAGCTGAAGGAACTAAGGCTATAATAAACTTGGGACTTGAAAAGGTTCCTGTACCTGGGGAGGCCGGTTTTCCCTTCCCCGGTTTATTCAGCTCTCCACAGTCTCATAAAGAAGCACGTAAGTATAAAGTGAAACATGCACTCTTTGATGTTGGGACTTGGGAATGTTTACTCGCGGCTTCATCAAATCTTTTTTTTTTTGACCCGATGTTTGAACCAAAAAACCGATACGGCTTCATCAAATCTTTATTGTATTTGCCACTGTCCATTTAACTTAAATAAATGATTTGGAGAGAAAATGAAACAAGGAGGGAGTTATTCAGCCATCCATTAGGTTTGGATTGTTTTCTTATTCAAAGCATTTCTTATAAAGTATTATTCTGTTGGTAAATCAAGTCTTTACCAGATTAATTTGAGAAGGTCAATATTTCTAGAGAGAGTACTATGTGTAGTGTAAAATACAATAACTGAGTGTAGCTGCGTTGAATTTGTTGTATTTTGCTAGGGACGAAGGTTTAGAAAGGCTAGTTCGGGTATAGAGGCGGTTTGTCCCAGTGAGTCAAAGCGTAAGCCTCAAAATATAACAACAAATAAATAAAAAAATTAAATAACTACAAACCAACTAAAGATATGTATAATTACAAGTCCAAAAAGTATCATCAAACACAATAATTCAAAATGAGAATCCCAACACACAAACAAACACATCACACATATGGCACAATTCAGAACCTGGAAGCTTTATGGCCATATCTTATAGCCTTATCACCATCATTATATCTTATAGCCTTAACTCCATCATCCCTTCCATCATTACTATCATAATCCTCCCATTCTAATAATTGTGCAGGAGTATGAAAGTATTTTGACAATTTTCACTTGCCAGATTTGTTAAGCTTTAGAAAGTGTATGTGGACACATCACACATGTTTAATGTATGGGCCCTTAATTAAATAAAATTTACTGGGCGTATTTAAGTTACAAGTTTACAACCACAAGACAAAATATTAAACAAAGAAAATCTTACCTCCAAAAACGCCTTAAGGCGTGCCTCAAGGCTTACGCCATGAATATCAAGGCTTAAGCCTCTTATCTTGCTAAAAAAACCTAAGCCTCAATACCTAATCTATGCGCCTCACATTGAGGCGTGCCTCAAAACCCGCCTCTTAACCACATTTTAAAACCATGCCAGGGACTGAATCAATTGCAATATTGCACATGAGCAATTTCTGCTGCCAATCGTTATGGTTTGCAATTCCTTTAAAGCACGTACAAGGAACCATTTTGGCACTGACTCAGCTTCCAATACACGAAATGTTCCAACCTGCTTGTTTCACTTTAGTTGTTTCGCTATAGTATAATTGCAAATTTCGCATCTCAGAATATTATGAATAAATCTCCTTAAAACTGGATACATTAAAATGCCACACATTTTACTAGAATTTATCCAGATTGGAGATTGTCAGCTTTGATCCCCAATTATATATTCCACATATTTGGTTTCTTGACTAGTGAAAATGTGGCACATTTAATACTAATCATTGCCAATTTTAGTTGTGGGATCACTTTTGAAAATATTGAACCTTAAACAAAAATTCCTTTTTAAGCCTATAAATGGTCTGTCAGGTCTGATGATGGAATGTTTTTTTGCAAAATTCTATAATGTAAAAAATCTGATATTGAGCTATCACTTTTGACCTCAGAGCTATTCAGGGATTACCTGAAGCAAATAAGGGAGGAGACAAGTGGGAGATTACTAAGTGTTGCTTACAGGCCAAATGGAACTCCGAATAAGTGGTGGTTAGCATTTTCAAAAAGAAACTTTATGAACCTAACTGCTACATGATATTGGTTCCTCTAAGAGGGGACTCGAAGAGTATATTTACACCCATTTCTCCAGATAGTGAGTGATCCATCCTCCAAAATAGTGATTTGTAGAACAAGCAACGGGTGAGAGAATTGACTGGTTGTAGGTGGTTACAGAGGGCAAGAAGGGTTTTCTTTTTGTATTTACCAAGTACATTTTAAAATTTTATTCTTGTTTAATAGGGAGTATATCACGTGCATAGCTGATTCAAGAAACTTACATAGGTGAAATGTGAAAACTCTATCTTATGATTTGTTGTCTTCCCATTTATATCATTTCATTTATAAAGATGAACGACACCATAAACAGAGAAAGAGTGATTCTATAACAATAACGATATTTTTTGTAATGAGTTTTTTATGCTTGGAGCTATGGTGGGACTGTGAGCTCATCAATATATCAATAACTTGGACACAAGGCTGCTAGCAGTCGGTGTGGTCATGAATGGACATGTGGTTAAAAGGTAAGCACTTTTGGGTGTTGGCTCTACCCACTAGCAGCTCCCAAGGGTGCTTAGGGGCTGTTTACTTGTGACTTAATGAGCTGAATTGAATGAGTGACTTATTCACTCAGTCATTGAGTAACGTTTACTTACGACTTAATGAAAAAATGAACTTATTCGCTCAGACAAAATATGACTTATTCCTTCAGCCAAATAATCTCACTCCTTCCGTTACAGACACCTTTCGTTCTTAATGATACTCCGTATTTCCTTTTTAACCCTCTTTCTCCCTGTAAGACATCACCCTTCGTCTCCATCTCATCAACGAGAAGCAAGCAGGGTAAGATCAACCATTCATCGAGAAAGTTGAAAGATGTTCTCTCCCTGGGTTTACGACCTGGGTTCTTTCGCACATAGGGATTTCTCGTTAACATGAGATTTACCGGTTTGATGACAGTTGTTTTTCGATTAAGAGTTGAAATCTTCTTCTAAACCTAATTCCGACCTTGGATTTGTGTTTTGAAGGATGATTTATGGCCAAAAAGTCAAAAAGTGGGATGAAAAATTGTCGATTTTACTGTTCAAATAGATTTTGATTTTTCTTCGTATCTTTGTATTTTACGACTATTTCTGGAATTCCTAGCTGGTTTGGGGCTCGCCGTCTCCAGGTGTAGCTTTGGAACTTTTCGGTGAAGGGTGGGGGCAAGAGAAGCCTGAAACCGTTGTAGCCGACTGATCTGTTTACCGTTCATCTTCTATCCTTCGAACCTGATATGGCGAGAGAAAAAGCAGAGTTCAGGGGAGGCGTCTACAACAAGAGCAACTCGTTCCTCATCCAGGTTTTCTGTCTTGGATGCCCTGGACGAAGATTTCCCTTTGTTAAACGCTGTGGATTTAATGAAATCAACGGGGGGTTGCACAGCTACAACTGCTACAGGGGATGTGGCCATTGCTGCTGATTCCTCGGTTGCAGCTGGACAGATTGATCAAGACAACGGGAAGCTGAGGCTGGTGACTCCAGTTAACAAGAAACAGAATGTTGAAATTGTTGTAGGGAAGGCAGTAACTTCTAGGATTGATGAATTCCCTTCTTTGAATAAAAGTGATGGTGGGCTTGCTGCTAAATTAACCCCAAAACCTGCTAAGGTTACTGGGACTAACGTGAATGGGCAGATTACTGGGACTCACGTGAATGGGCAGACTACTAATGTTATCTTTAGGCAGATTCATTTACATGATTTTATTGTATAAGTATACACATTTTTATGTTTTCTTGCTAGTCGGGAGGGTTATTTGGTCATTTGATATTATTCAGACATTTCATTGAGCTCACTTGGTAAACAGTTTGTTATCTCAGTGTCACTTAATCCAGACAGATAGCTTAATGCAGACAGACGTCTTAATCCATTCAGGACTTGATGTAAAAAAAGTAAACAACCCCTTGGCTTGTTTACAGAATGGTTCCTGTTCTGGTCCTCTATTATGGTCAGAACCGAAACTGACCTCATATCTTGTCCTTAGATAATTGGTATGAGACCTGCACGGGTAGCTCAGTTGGTTGAGTGGTGGGAGATTTGGATCAATAGACCAAGGTTTGAATCCTCGCAGCGACCAGGTGGAGGTCACAGAACCTGAAATAAGGTTGGGCCTCTGGTGCGCACGGGTGTATGGGCCTACTACCATTCTGCTGACTGAGTCACCGTGACTAACCTCCCCACCATCCTGTCGGGTCGGGGTGAGGGCTCCTGGGTGGGAGATTCCACCTTTTGGATCAAGAAAACTGGTATCAGAACTGGCCATTGTGGTCCTGTTTTCGAGGAAATGTAATCAGATTAAAAATAATTGGACATGTTAAGGGCCGGTTCTGGGGCAAGAAGGGCGACAGCCCTAGGCCCGAAAAAAATCGAAGAAAAAATAGGCCCAAATTTTTTCTTTATATATAGTGTGTGTAGGCTTCTTTTTTATTCTTAAGTTCAATTAATTAGGCCTAATGCTTAATTTTGTTGACATTAATTTTTAGCAGGATCAATTGTAGTTTTTAAAAGCAATACAATTGCTGCTGCATAAATAAAAGACACGTCTCTACAGTCCTCACATTTTTTTAGCTTTAAAGGTTTTTTATTCAATTTAATTATAACATAACAAATTTATATAATTATTTTAGAGCTCGTTTCTTTCAAATTTCACCCCAATCATTCATTCGTTTCTGTTGAGGTTTATTCCTTCAACCCGTAGATCCAAACACACGACCCAAGGGTTTCAAATGGAAGAAATAAAGAAGTAGAGGTAGAAACAAGCAAGAAAAGTCCAGTAAGAAGTCTTAATACAATAATCTTGAAACAAGGCATGAGGTCGTTCGTCCTTTGTCTATGTTGTGAGCTGTTACAATCCTATACTATTAGAGTTCTTAGTTGCCAACCCTTTACAATGAAATAAATGTTACTATTTATACTGTCAATGGGTAGTTGGATGAGTTGACGTGGCAGGCTGTGGATGGCTTGATCCCAACGACCAAATCTTCTACAGTAAATGCACAACCAACGAATCTTCTGCATTAAATGCGCTTCCCGCCAGGATCTTGGCTTCCCGCCAAGAGGTGGGGACGTTCGTCCCCTCGAGCTTGCTTCCTGCCTTCTGCTAGGTCCAAAATCCTGTAAGACGAGCGTCCGGGGCTGCCCCTACCAGGACCTTGGCTTCCCACCAAGATGTGGGGACTTTGTCCCCTCGAGCTCGCTTCCTGCCTTCTGCTGGGTCCGAAGTCCTGCAAGACGAGCATCCGGCTCTGCCCCTGCCCTGTTGGGGATGAACCTCGTCAGGATAAGCAGAAAGGTAGCTCGTTGCCTCGTGCCTTTTGGGGACGTCCGTAGGGCGGCCCTTGAGGGTTTTATGGGTCAACCCCCGTCGGGCCATTAACCCAACACAAGTCCCCCACTTCTGATGTTCCGAGCGTGCGCGGGACATAAGGAAGTAGAATTGAATCCGACGTACGTCGCCAGCGAATACCTTTGGCGCCTCCTAAGTCATAGGCAGAGGGGTACCTCATTAAAAACTCCGTTAAGGAAAAACCCTGTGGGAAAAAATCCTAACGGAGGAAAAAGAGTGTACTCCGCTCTGTCATGAATTCCGGAGAGGAAAGGCGACACCACACTGTAAGTAGTTTCGCCGTAATGCCTTTAGCCGACGCCCCTGACGCAACGGTTGCCTGCTGTATTCTGGATCTCTGAACGTCTTGCCTCACTCACGGGATCCTCGTACCCGGTCGTCTATGTGAACGGGCCTTGGTGGCCCTTTGGAGATGTATGTCTTCCCGACCAGGGGGAGGGTATCCTCTGTTGTTTGTCTTTGGGGACGTTCGTAGGGTGATTAACCCAACACACGAATGTGCTCGAGAAAGTATACTCTTGTCCGCGCGCGTCCTCTGTCTTCGTTGGCATATGCATGAGGGCTTGGGCCGTTCGGTCCCCGAATGATGGCCCAATTCCTTCGGACGTTCATCCCCTAGGACCTCGGCCTAGGATTGTCCAGCTTCGTCATGCACGACCCGGGGGCGCTCTGACCTCGTCGTGCTAAGCGTCATTCCTCGGCCCGAGTTCCCAAAGATGTTCGGCCTCCGGAATTTTCCTAAAGACCTGACTCTGCTTCCTTAGGATGTTCGTCCCCTAGAACCTTGGCCAAGGGTTGTCTAGCTTTGTCATGCACGACCTGAGGGCGCTCCGACCTCGTCATGCTAAACGTCATTCCTCAGCCCGAATTCTAAGCGACGTCCGTCTTCCGGATACTAGGCTGGGCCTTCTTGGGACGTTATGACTTCGATACGCTCATCCTTGGCAGGCTCAATCTCTGGATATGTTGCGCGTCTCACGGCCCTCAGCCGTGAGGCCCATTTCGTGACCCTCGGCCTCTTCGTGAAAGATGCTTGTCGCCAAACCCTCGGCCTCTGAAGTGGAGATGCCCGTCTCCAGGCCCGCGGCTGTGAGGCTCTTCTCTAGGCCCTCAGCCTCTGGATGATGTATGGTCATCTCATGGCCGCAGGCCTCAGGGGTGAAGATGCTCGCCTCTAGGACCTTGGCCGTGATAACCTCTTTTATCCGTCGTCCCGATCATGACCTTTATCTGCACAGTGAGCCTGACCGTAAACCAGACACGATGGTGCAAAGGGGCCGGTCGTACTGCATAAGACGGTGGTCGCCATCCTAGAAGGTATGGATGAGCCGATCATGAGCGTGATACGATGGCGCTGAGGAGCCGATCGTACCGCGAATGATCTTGGTTCCCCGCCCCCTTATGGAGGCGATGTCTCCTGCGTCCGTACTCGGGTTTTATCTCGTGGTGGGTACGAACGTCCCCGGGCAAATGGTTCCGGGTGCGCTGGCTGGCTGGCTCAGGTGCCTCGAGCATTGACGTCGAAATCAATACTCCCTTCGGGCAGTCGGCTGAACCATTCGTACGCTGGTCCTTCCAATGTGGAGAGGAACCTACGACATAAATACTCATCCGAGGCCCCCACCATCATCATGCTATTTTGGTACCCGCTATAGTGCTCCTGGGGGTCAATCTTCCCTTCATATGGCTTGATGGTCTACCCTCGGTATTTCCCTGGGATCTGAACCGCCAATACCCTTGGGGTAAAAGGGGTCCTCGTGCGAAGTTGGATGACGGGTTCCCCAGAGCCTTCGACAAGCTTCTTCTGCATTTCGTCCACCTTGGCCAGCATGGCGGTGTATTTGGGGTCCGCCTATGAGGCGGAGGCCATCGTATGGGTCTGACGGGCCTCCATTTTGTCGAGCCGGCGCTGGAGGGCCTCAATAATATCATCCCTAGGATCCTCTGGCATTGCCTCCGCCCCAAGAGATTGTACGCGGGCCTAGTGAGCCTGGTTGATCCAGTGCATGGCC